TCGAACGCATGTTCAAGGAACGCATACATTGCACATGACACATGTTTTCTTTCTTTTAGATGGAGTATACAAATAAATAGCGAACATGTTTTGGGGGTCACAGATCCCCCTTTATCAGGGCTATGTAATGTGACAAAATCTGATAGCCCATATAGCTTTTTACCTTTACATCATATCTAATAAAAACCTTAATTAATTAAATCAGTACGGCCCTCTAATTTTTCCAATACTCTGCAAACGTTTCCAGGGACTCCTCGGGATACCCTTGTTGACAAGCTGCCTCCAAATTTCAGGAATCCTATAACCTATCCTTGTTTACTCAAAAGGTCCAGAGCTCCTAAAATACACATGTATTTGCTGCAACAAATGAAGTGGATGGAAGCCAGGGCCCGAGGAAGGTATTTTTTGTTTTTGCTTTTTCTAAAAATTGTTTTCCAACTTTTATTAAGCGTTCTTTATATGGGTATGGGGGGCTGTCAGCAAAACAGCTGCAGTTTCATGTTAGTTCTGCTTCCATCACAAAGTGTATATATTGCCCAGGCAATGCTTAAAAAAAAATATTTCCCAACCTCTTATATTACATTATTCTGTACACATTTATTTGTAAGGGTTAGTTTTCTGTAAATAAGATGTCAGGTATGCAGGGATGCAGACAGACAACAAATAAATTTACCTGATTCAAGCATCTCAGCCATTTTTCATAGCACCAAACGCAGCCGAAGCAGCACTTTGACGTACACCTGGTGCATGCATTGTCCTGGAAACAAATAGAAAGTGACATTTATTTGCATCATTCAGCACAGCACGCTACAAAAGAGTCTTCATGACAAATACTAGTGGGGGACATTTTTATCACACCCTTTTCCTGCCATGGTGAAACTGTTTTGAAAGTAGAGATAATGAACTGAATGTCTTTCCCACCAAGCAGAACATGCTTTTTTGGAAGGAAAACAACTGGTTCGACAGCTGCAAGAATCTGCGGAGCAATAACCTCTGTGATTTCGCCAAACAGGAAATAGCATTGCCATCAAATATATGAGAAATTGAATAATAGTGCTGACGCTTCATTCATAAGCAGATCACGAATTCTGTACTCATATTCTCAAATAAAACAAGAACACTTAAGAAGCTATTTGTGGAAAAAAATTTGCATAGCTATTTATCCAGAAAAACTGCATGTACAATAGTTCTATGCGAATGAACCAGCCGTTGTCAGAATGGAAAAAAACAATGTTTTTAGGCTATTTCCTCTTGTGGTAAAATGTTATTTAACGGGGTAATTCACAAAGCTGCCGAAGGCAGCCGAGTGAACAACACAGCCGAAGTGAAGTGAGCCGAACAACATTCAGCTCTTCACTCCGGCTCAGTACGGCTGATTTCAGCCGTACATCGGCTGCACTTCGGTCACGAGAATATGCTCTGCATGTTCGGCTGAGCCAAAGTGCAGAAGGACTTAGACTCAGCCGATCCAACATCTAGATCGGCTGAGCCGAAGCTCCGGCAGCTCGCTCGCTGCCTTTCCCAAACAGCAGTGAATGAATAGCTGAGCGGCATTCGGCTTGGCTACTCTGCACCTCCGTGGTACCAAGCAGAATAGAAAAATCAATGAAAAGATCTAAAAAAAGGTTTAAAAAATATTTTTTTAATGAAAATAGTAAAATTTAAAAATAAAGATTAAAAAATTTAAAAAAACAATTGGGCGGAGCTAGCTGCTCGGCCGCTGTACGGGCTATAGTGAATAGCCCGTACAGCAGCCCTTCGGTTCGACTGAACCAAAGTGCTCCGGCGACCAACGAGAGCCGAAAGATCAGACGAACCTACGACTGGATCCTTCGGCTCCTTCGTGAATAACCCCCTAAATATTATGGGCAGTAGTGAAATCAGGAAAATACTGAATTGTCACCACTAATTAAAGCGGAGGATGATAGAGAATAAATACATCTTAGCAACAAGAGAATTTTTTTTTTATAATTCTAGACAAAGCTTGAGGGAATTATCAGATAAATGTATATACATTGTAACAAAGGTTACATGCATCTGCTAATTTCCACCAGCATTCTCTGGAATTGTTACTAACATATTTATTTCCTATGATCCTCAGCTCCATCTAGTGGCCATAATGCAGTATTTTCTCGATTTACTACTGCCCATAATATTTGAAGGACATTTGACCAGAAGAGAAACTAGCCTAGGAACATTCAATTTAGCCACATTTTCACAATAACTCACAAGAAAATGCAGCTTCACTGGATAAATTGCTATGCAGATTTGTTAAAAAAAAAAAAGCCCCTTAGGGTGTACATTGATGCAGGGTCACTGCCTTCTAGTGGCCATTTCCATTTCTGTATCACATGTGTACCCATGTACCCTGCTAGCTGAATTTCCTATAGCTGCTATTTTCTGTTCAATTCTGAATAGCTTTCAATATCTGAAATGCAAGTCAAGTTCCATCTAAGCTCTTCCCAGTCTCGTTAGCTTTGCCCACCTACTGTATGCTAGACCATGAGAGGAAGATTGCACAGCAACAAACTCCTGTGACAGCTGTAATCCTCCTCAGAGACATTGCAAAAAGCTTACTGTACTCTATTACAGATAGGATCTGATTTGCTGTACCAAGGTTTACAACACCATGTGCTGGAAAGCTGGATCACTGCTCAGCAGAGGGGTAAAATGTAATAAACTGGAGCAGACAGAACCTGGAGCAGTTGTGAATAGTAAACAATCAGCTTATCTCTTGTTCATTTAATCAGCATACAGATTTAATTTTCAAAGCTTCTTTGCTATGCACATCTGCTACAGATTCCTAATAAATTCCTCTCAGAGTGCAGTGGTCTGGGTCTTCATTGGTCTGATGTGCCCCTACACAGTGTGCCCATCAATCACAGCACTCATGTTGCATTACAGTAGTAAAACCCAATCGATTTAGGGAAATTATTTGGCTCCTTTGTAGGGCCAGGATGGAATTTTCCCCTCTGCTAGGCAATACCAGGCTACGTTGTTCAGGGGTGGGGGTTTTGCCGCTCTCTGGACCACTAATGGAATTCATTAGCAGCTAAACTTGACCGATTTGTCTTTTTGCAACCTATTTAGCTTGTGACCATGTCTTTCTTAAGCTTGTAACTGAATAATTCTGATTCCAGAATAGAAGACATTTTCCTGTTCTGCAGAAAGGGATCCTGTATTATTGCATTTCCTGTATAACAATGTCCTTTCCAATATTTATAATACAATATTGTCAATCATTATTGCCTGTGTTGTTGTGCAATTTATATTTGGAAAGCCCATTAACACTTGCTCCATATTTCCAAATGACAAACAGTGGCATCTCAAACTCATTCTATTGTGAAACACAGTTATGTTTTAAAGTGTTCTACATCTTTGTTTCTCAACTCTGGTTGCAATAATCATTTCCTCTCCAGAGCTGTTCCCCACAGTAATTCCTTGCCATGACTAGATGAAAGTTGGGCGTCATTCAACCCAAAAGACTGAGAACATTGTGTGAGTGCAGGGTGTCATGTACCCACAGGTAAGGCATCATGGACTCACAGGTAAGTACAACGGAGATAAACAGTATGGTAATTATGTGTAAAGAGATCAGAGAGGAAATTACCTGACCAATGACATGGTAAATTGCTAGATAGGTATAGTCTTGGCTCTGGTCATGAATGTGAGTGGGAGCGGGTGGTGTTGAGTCAGTGAGGGAGGTGGGAGGAGTAATTCAGTAGGTGGGTAAGAGGAAAGATTAGAAAAGGAGGAAACAAGGTGGAATAGGTGGACAGGGAGAAAAGGTGTGAATTAGTGTCACAGGGGGACAAGGGGAAGAAATTTTAGGACATGGGGGGGGGCTTTTTTGGATGATTAATACTTTTTAAAAAGTATGCATTCACACCCTAAAATGCATTTATTACTGGATGATAAAAAAAAAGTAATGAGAAGGGCAGGAAATTTAATTTGTGCTTTACAGTTGTAAATACACATAAGCTAGATGGACCCATATGATGGATATACATTGTATATAAAAATAAACCACTAGTATAACCCATAATATAAATGCAGTATACTAAATAAGCAAGCAGCGATGGCAGTAGATTACATATTCCACATGGGGATCCAATTTTCCTAGTTATATAACAGCCTTGGAAATGATCCCATGACGCCACATTTGGACAGCAACACTTGGTGCTTGCCAGGGGCCTCACCTTTTATAACACTTGAACTAAAAGAGTTTTATAGTAATAAATATTTATAGTAGAGCAATATGAAGTATTAGAAAGCGTGGCTCTCATTTAAGAAAAAGGAAACAGGGCCCAATGACATGTAACACTGGCAGCTCAATGTAAATACACTCCCAATGGAAAGTATGATATGGTCTTTTTTTATTGCTTCTTAAGGGAAGCAGTATTAGTATACATCAGCCACTACAAAGGACACAACCACTGATGCCAAGAAAACATTGGAAGAATAAAATATAATTATTTTTTTTACTCTGACTGGATCGGCTAATCTATCTTCTATTATGTGAATTCAAGCCAAATTATTAATATGAATAGAAAAACAAGTAGATAAACCAAGTTAGGCCACTGACACTAAAAGATGTAATAGCTGCAGAACTAAATAATAGCAAGTAAACATGCTTGGCCAGCACCTTTGTCTGCTAAGACATTATCATCACTCTTTTTATTTGTGCAGTTGGGGAACATCCTATGCACATCGTTCTACTGTACTTAAAATTAAATTAACTGCATTTCCTGCAATCTGAAATTCTATTATCACTCCATGATCAGGAATACCCAAAGTCTCAGAGGAAGTTCCATCCTACAGACAGAGGTTAAAAAGAACTCTAGTTGCTGTGTTGGTTTCCGAAAAGTCTGGTAAAAACAACCTCAAAATTAGAATGATTATAACTCACAATGGATTTATGCCAAAACATAAAACTGGAAAGTGAAGAACAAATATGTATAATAGAATTCTTTGTACTCTCAGGGAACATGTATTCATAATTCCTACCCAACCAATCTCATTATTTAGACTTCTAGTTCACAAATAATATGAAGAACACCCTACTTTGGTGAAGCAAGGCATTAAAAATGTCAAAATATATAACCCAATCAAACATGAAAATTTGCCATTTAAAATAATATAAGGAAAAAAAAAACAGTGTGGTGCTTCCATTTTGTCCCCTGCACTGACAAATCACGAGGGTTAAATAGGATAGTGTGCTTGTGAAGGGACTCCCCTGCCCCAGTTATAATTACTTTACCAGTGCTTCCCCACCATTCCCGTCTCTGCTGCAGCTAGAATTAGACTGTCTTTTGGTTTAGCAGACAATTGCTAGGCAGAGGCATCCCCTAGGATTTTTGTATTCACTCTAAAATCATTTTCTTGGAGTTCATTGTGGGAAACAGGAAGTCTTTCCTCTTACCTTATATTGCCACCTACAGAATGATTGAACACTGGCAAACAAACAACTGTGGACCAGCCCAAGATTATTTCTCCTACTACCAGAGTGCCTCAGTTTGTACAAAGCAGTATCGAGAGTAGGATCATAAAACACAGAGGGATAGAATGTGTCCCTGAACAAACTCCAAGAAAAGGATTTTACAGTGAAGACAAAAATTCTATTTTCTTTCTCATCCACTGAGGGACACAGGAAGCCTTTCACCTTCAGGACACCCAAAAGCATGTTTGAGGGGTAAGGGCAACAAAGCAAAAAACTAACAGGACCAAGAAAAATAAAACCCAATAACTAGGAACTCTCTGTAGCTCAACCAGCCACATGAAGGACCATATGGCCAAAGCTGGCATAAGATGAGACCACTATGTTCACCTGGTAGAATTATATGTGACTATATAAACTATATGTGAGAATATGTGAACAGAAGACCAGGTGGCAGCCTTGCAAATCCGAGAAACATTTATTTGATGCTGAAAAGCCAAAGAAGCACTCTGGATCTAGCAGAGTGTGCCTTGACAGAAAAATATTGAATCCAATCCTTTAGACCATAGGGTTATTTGATGGTCTGTCTGATCCACTTAGTAATGATGGAATGAGAAACATGTATACCCTTATGGGGACCATCAGTCTTTCTGAAAGGCACAGTGGCAGAGAAGTAGACTCTCATGGTTCAAAACACATCCTGCCTAGGCCAGTCTTCAGTCATAAGGACCACTGGCATGTCCTCAGTCTTGATCCTGTGAAGCAGATGAGGAAGAGTCTTCAGGGGAGGAAAGGCATAGATGAGGATGCACTGATCCCACAGATCATCCACTGCTTCTACTAGATGATCCCTGTACACGTAGAGAAACCTGGCAAGCTTGTTGTTGAACCTGGAGGCCAGAAGGTCCACATATGGTGTCCTCCACCCAAGACACAGATCTTCGAACATCTATGCATGAAGAAACCACTCCCTAGTCCAGGCACTGTCGGATGAGGAGGTCTGACTGACAACTGTCTATGCCTGGGATGTACACAGTGGAAGAGGCAGGATTCAATCTACCTCTCTTGTGGGGTGAGACTTCTGGTTCCTCCATGATGGTTGATGTACACCACCACCATGGCATTATCTGACTGAATCCAAGTCAAATGGTCCAAAACTGCATAGACAGTCAAATCACCCATTCCTGGATGTTGATCAGGAGAAGACTTCGACAACCAAGTCCCCTTCAACAACAGAGTGCCTATGATCCTACCAATCGGACTGGCTGGCATCTGTCATGAGATTCTTTTAGAAGATTGGAAGGAAGGTTCAAATCCTAAGATGGATTACGGAGCCACCAAGACAGGGACAAACGTCATTGGTGCCATATTAATTAGTCTGTCAAGGGACTTGAATGAATTATCCCACGAGTGTTGCATTGAAGAACTCTGGCATAAAACTGGGTAAATGGAGTTGCTTCAATAAAAGGTTACCATCAGGTCCAAGACTCTCATGCAAAAGTAGAGAATTGGACGACTCCTACAGAGCTGGAATCTGAATTCATAGAGTTTCTCTTGTGGGAAAAGTGTGGGGCTAAACCCAGATCCTATAAAAAAAAAAAAAAAAAGAAGAAGATGCAGGTTCTGCAACGATATTTGAAAGATTAAGATTCATCCAAACCACTCTAATGTCTGACAGAGCCCGCACCAACTGCTCCCTCAACAGGAGGTTGTCTAAATATCCCACAATGAGAATGTCACAAGAGCACAGAAAGGCTAATACTAGAGTCAAACACCGAAGGTACAGAAAAGATTCTGAAGGGAAAGGGCACAATCTGGTAGGGAGGCCACAGCAATGCATAAGAAATGCTGATGTCCACGAAAAATTGGGACAACTCTTTGATGTCCACGGAAGCCAGCATGTCTCCCTCGCGGAGGTAGGCATTGACAAACCTAGTGTATTCCATGTGGCATTCCTAAGCTTGAATGAGGACATTTAGAGCATTGGGACGGAAGTAGGAGGAAATGCCCCCTTTGGGATTAAGAAGCATGAATAGGATGGAGAAAAGAAGCTTGAAACTGTTCTGCCACAGGAACTGGGGCAATGATACCTTGGTCCAGAAGACCCAAGAGGACTCCATGGAGATCTGATCCTCTGTGTGGTAACACAGGGAGGTTAGACCTGAGAAACCAAGGAGGGGGCAGGGAACTAAACTTCAGTTTTTAGCCCTAGGATGCCACCTAAGCATCTGAGATGCAAGCTGTGCAAGTGTCAACCAAAATTAACAAACGCCCTCCAACTCAGGAAATATGCAGCGGAATCATTGCCTGAGGATTTGGCAGACTCTGAGCCCCAGAACTTCTGGGTGGACTGGGTGCCAAGCTTGTGGGTCACGATATAATGGGAGCTGCTGTGGAGAAATGATAGGGATTTCTTAACAGATAAAGATGGAGAAGACTCAGCTTCTTTGTCTGAGGAAGGTGGATGCTCTCACCACCGGCAGTGTCCTTAGTAAGGGTATCAAGGGGAGACCAGAAGAGAAGTTGTCCCTCAAAGGCCATACGGATCAGATGCTTCTTGGATATGATTTCTGCAGTCCAGTTCTTTTTTTTTTGGCGTCCCTGGGTGGGCTTGAATGCAGTCCAGTTCTTTAACAAAAGTGTCCTACTGATGTGAACTGACAGGAGACCCATGCAAGAGATAAGCTAGGAAGCCTCCAGCAAACTGACAACTGACGTTTAAAGCTACGGCAAACTGTGCCAAGCATTCTATAAGCAAGGGATCAACCGCAGCAGTGGTAAGATTTTAAAAAACTATTTTTTTAAATTTATGGTAAATTCACATCTAGGAGGGTGTAAAGAGCATGTCTGCTAGTGATAACAGAGTTTTACAGAGGGGTGGAGAAACTGGCCACACCCAAAGGAGCTAAAGAGGTCTCCAATGACAGAATAGACTGTAGAAACAGAGCGGAAACAAGATTCCAGGCTACACAGTAGGTGTGCTACATGCAGCCCCAGAGCCATTAGTAAAAGTGTAAGCTGGGGGCACCCAGTACAGTGGTACTAACAAATCATGTTGGAGTGTATTATTATTATACAGGATTTATATAGCGCCAACAGTTTGGGCAGCGCTTTACAACATAGGGAAGACATTATAATTACAATACAATTCAAAACAAGATGGTAAGGAGGGCCCTGCCCATGAGGGCTTCCAATCTAAGAGGTGTATGGGTGCTCTCTTATGGGTTTCAGCAGAACAATGAACAACAGCACTGTCCATAGCTAGTAGCAGGTAATCACATCTAACTGGACTTGTTGAAGATAATGCTGCACTCATCCGAGTAGCTTCCTGAGGTCAAATTACTGTTGGGAACATACCCCAACATTAGTCTGCTCTAAGTAGCTTATGTACAAATCTCAACACACATAATCATTGAAAAAGAAGCAAACATATTCGCCCACTAAAAATAAATTTCACTTTCTCCTTAAGGGGAACAAACAAGTGAAAGCTGTGCAAACCTCTTTTTCTCACATTCACACCCGGCACGGCTTATTGGGCTTGCACAGCTTTTCACTTGTTTGTTTACAAAATTTATAAAAAAACGAATACAAAATTGTTAAGACCAAATATTTGCAGGGCTCACCACTGCTTACCTTTTTATATAGTAGCCGAGATAAATTCATTAAAATAATTCTTGGGATTTTCAAAAGGGCCAGCAAGAAGGAACCCATAACTGCTGTTCCAAGATGGTACCAAAACAGAATAGACAAGGAAGACAGGATAGGGTGCTTGACTTTTGTTTTGTCTCTGTAAAATATAAGCAGGTACATTACATAAAATCCCACAACATTCTAAATTAACACTAGCATCCTTACCGCCATGTATTGTTTTAAAGGCATCCAAAGAGGTAGACTTCTTTCCTCCCCCTAAGACCTCCTGTTCTCTGGCTCCTTGGTTATCTCCTCCCAAACTTGCCTCCAGGACTTCTCTAGAGTTTCTACCATCATCTAAAACTCCCTACCCCAATCTATGAGGCTATCTCCTACTCTGTCCACCTTTAAGCAATCCTTACAAACTCTCATTTTCAGGGAAGCCCACCCTGCGTCCACCTAACAACCAAACTTTTATCTTCTCCATCAACTCCCCACACAGTTATTACCTTTTGTATCACTTGCACCTCCCTTTTAGGTTTCAGCTCTTAAGGGTAGGGTCCTCCTAACCCGCTTGTTTTGTATTGCAACTATATCATCTCCCTTTAAATTGTAAAGCTCTGCGTTAACTGTGGGCAATAAATCATTCCTGTAAAATATTAATAAGAATTGTCTCTAATGTAATCCATAACACCAACCGGACACTGATGTTTGTTTATCGATTATTGTTCTGGATCACCTAAACATCTCTCTGCCTCACAGGATAAGTGCAAGCTAGATGAGATTTCCAAATCAAATGGAAAACTCTGTCTGGGGTCCCTCCATGTAGAAATACAAGGACCCTGACCTCTAAAGACCTTCTTGGAAACAACAGCGAAAACCTAATGCAGCTGTTATTTACATTACTTCATGGACTTTATTTCAGCCAGTGAAACGTACAGTTTCCCTTATCATGTGGTAATACCAAATATCACCAGCAGGCAATAAATAAACAACTGTCAGGGGAATTTATCAAAACTGGAGCAGACAAAATCTGGAGCAGCTGTGCATGGCTACCAATCAGCTTCTCTCTTTCATTTTCAAATCTTAACTGAACAAACTGAAGAGAGAAGCTGATTGGTTGCCCTAGGCAACTGCTCCAGGTTTTGCCTGCTCCAGTTTTGATGCATTCCCGTCTGTATCTTTTTGTTCAAGAGAAGCCATGGCAAACGTGTTATGACAACCAGTATAAAAGGTGTTCTGAACTAAAAGTGGCTTCTTGGAAATCCCCTTAAAAATAAAAAAACACTAATAGAAGAAACAGAATCATCTTGCTGAGAGACAGTGCATTCAAACAATGCTGTGTTGCTGCTCCCTGGTTGCTGCATGTATTCTACACTTCTGGGTGTGTAAAATACTTGCTTCCCCACCACATTCTGTGGATCCTCCCACCAGACAATAATTCACTACAAGACATACAAGGCAGCGGGAGGATAACAGGTATTCCTGACTGGTTGCATACTGGCAGCAACAGGGGACAAGCAGAAGTGGAAGAATTTCAATACATGGGCTTCCAGAAAGATAAGTATATTAGGGGGAGTTTATCAAAACTGGAAAAGGCAAAATCTGGAGCAGTTGCCACGGTAATCAAATCAGTTTCCCTTTCATTTTCAAATCTTAACTGTAGGGCTGCAACAACTAATCGACATAATCGATTATAATCGATTATTGAAAAAGTTGTCAACTTTTTCAATCATCGATTAAGTTTATCCGATTAATCGGACTTAATAATCCGCTAACTAATCGATTTTGAAAATAATTGTTAGCTGCAGCTCTCCTTAACTGAACAAGGTGAAGAGAGAAGCTGATTGGTTACTATGCACAGCTGCTATGCACAGCTGCTCCAGATTTTGATACATTTCCCCCATTGTCTCTTCTTTTACAGATAAGTGGTGACAGGGTCACTTTAAAACAGCCAGCAAGAATTTTTACTTCAAACCAAAATTCGAACAAGACTTCCTCTTTAACCACTTCCTGGCCGGCCGTAGTAAAACGTATGTGATAGCAAAATGTAAGTCCCCCCCAAAATGTAAAGTAACACATAAAAAAGAATAAAAAAAATGAAAAAATGTCAAGTCCCCACCCATACATACACGCATGCAAACATGCGTCGGGGGCGCATACGTGCAAAAACGACGATTGCGCCCATTACGCCGCACATGTTACATATCGCCGCGAACGTCGCAGTGAGAGCAATAAGTCTAGGGCCATCAATCGCTGATAACACTAAACTGATGAGCGGTAAAAGCTTTTAAAGTGTCGCCTATGGCCAATTTTGGGTATGGTAGTTTTCTGCGATTTCGCGGGTGCGCGCAATTTTAGAGCTTGACATGTTTGGTGTCTATTTATCCGATGTGACCCCGTCTTATATTTTACCAAAAAACTGGGTAATAATAAATGTTTCCTAAACATAATGTGAAAAAAACCTTTTTTTTTTCAAAATTTTCTTTAAATTTTTCCTAATTATAGTAAAAAATGAAAACCCCAGTGGTGATTAAATACCACCAAAATAAAGCTCTATCTGTCCCCAAAAAATGGTATAAAATTCATTTCAGTACAGCGTTGCATGACGGAGTAAACGTCAGTCAAAGTACCACAGCGCTGAATACTGAAAAATGGCCTGGATGGGAAGGGGGTCTAAACACCTGGTCTTGAAGTGGTTAATAAACTAAATCAGCTTGCTCCATTTTGTTTGAACATTTATTTTCATTTTAATTGTAAGGAAAGCTCAATGTTTGTTAAACGTTGATGTAACATATATAATTGACATACACTAATATTTAAATGGCCTTTCCATTTCAAATCTGCAGGCAGCTAAAATCTTCTAAAAACGGTAAAAAAACAAAAAACATCCCTTCATATTAGGACGTTTGGGGGGTATGAAGTCTGGGGATGATCTAAATGCCTGCTAGCGCAATTGAATCACAGTTTTTCCCAGAAGTCAACTTTCAGGTATCCTCTGCTTTACCCCTAGGTTTACTACATTCATCATTTCATCTATGTTGGTTATTTGTTTTTGTTTTTTGTATATAGCTCTAACATATTACACAGCACTTTGCACATTATACAGCAGGGACAATTTGGGAGGAATCCAATTAACACATCTGCATGTTTAGGATTATGGGAAGAATCCGGAATAACCAAATGAAACCCTTTTAAGCTTCATGAAACTCTATTTATATTGTGTCCCAGATGGGAATTTGAACCCAAGACCCAGAGCTGCAAGGCAAGAATGTTAGTGTTAGGATCCAGAGCGCCTCCAGGTGGCGCTGGACCTAAGCCCTGCAGTTCCTGTGCTCACCTGCAGGTAACTGTTAGGTACCAGACCACCACTGGGTGGTGCTGGAACCTGCAGATCCAGTGCTCACCTGCAGGTGTCTCCCAGCTGCCGGCACTTAGCCTTCACCTGGCGCTTCCTGGGAGGGTATTTAAAGCCTCCCTGCAGTCAGGACTATGGCTCAGTATTGTTTCCTGTGAGTCCTGAACCCTTTTTGCAGTCCTGTTTCCTGTGAGTCCTGTTACCAGTCCTGAACCCTGTTTGCAGTCCTATTTCCTGTGTATCCTGAGTCCCAAGTCCTGTCACCTGATTATAGACCTAAGTCCTGATACCTGCTTGTAGTCCTGTTATTGTTACCTGTATTAAGCTATTTGCTCCCGTTATATGTTGTAGGTGTTGGTGGTTATATTTAGTTGGTGTCACGTTAATTATCCATGTTTGCTTTTGGGTGTTTTATTTGGTTGTGCTGTTTACAATAAACTGGATATAACACATTTGCCTTGTCCAGTGTGGTCATACGTGTTTGGTCTTCCCGTGTAGGTACCTGCATGCGGTGCAGGGACACCTGTGCACGGTATCGTGACAGTTAGTTTCTTAGATATCATGATACCCAATTCTTCTCTTCATGTCTGTAAAAAATAACTCAAGGCAACTGGACTTCTTCTCATCATGCCACAAGCAGTTCAAGTTTGTAGAGCTGCACATAAAGCTTGTAAATAAATATAGAAGAGGCCTAAAAAGCATTTTTTTTACTCAAGAGAAGTTTTACTTTAACTTGCTTACTTGAAACCACAAAAGTCCAGGTCACAGGCCACCACCGAGCCATCGCAGGTCTAATTCACCACTTTGAAAACAAAGTATTTTAACTATCATGCCACAACATTTACGTCCAATATCTTATATCCTAATACTTAATATGTTAATATATTATGGTATGCACACCTTTACACTCAGAGCAAGCAATTAACAAATCTGTATGTTTTCCCCAAAATAACCAGAAGTCATCAGAACATACCGATCTAAGAACCGGGACACAGTGGCTCCAGAAATGACAATTTGCTGACATGTAAGGAAGAATTCACTGGTCCATATCAGGCCAAATAAATGATACCACCACATATATCGAATTCCGGCCAGAGGTTTAAATGTCACTTGCCCATCTGATGATACCTGGGCACTGCCTGGAAAGAGGAAGAAGCTTGTACTAAATCCACAACTATGGACAGTTACGGTAGAACAGTATAATACACAATAACGTTTGCAGCAGCGCAGTCTACAATGTTTGATTCACTCCTTAGTCTAAAGCCGGCCATAAACTGAAGAATTTTTGGGAATGGTCAACAAAGATTCTTTTGATATTCAAGAAATAATCTGAATGAATGACTGGAGCACATTTTGTGGTTGTCTTATGCAGCATTTGTGATTTAGTGTAACTGGTCAGTCTTTTTTTTTAATCTTAAACTTAAAGGGGTCTCTAAATTCAAAAGCAAAAATGTAAACAAAAAAGCCTAAAAAAAAAAGTCTTGTCCCCACCACCTCCTGTAGTTTTCTACCGGCAGCCTATAGTGGGTGGGGCCTGCTTTAACCCTTCCACAGCTCTTTTCTCTCCACAGGCTATGTACAGCACAGTAATGATACCACTGCTAATTTAATGTGACAACGCTTTGCAAAGGCATTTTAAGCTCACAAAGTGGATTTATATCCTTTGTGGTTATTGAAAAGTATATTTCAATTAATGTTTTTGTGCTCCAAGTTTAGATTTAAACAGATGTCCAAGTGACTATGTATTACAGTTGCCAAGTGCCCTGCTCTCTATCCCAAGGGCTGTCCTGTAGAGGACAGCACGCAAGGTAACGTGGCAGGTAGCGTGTGGAGTGTCATGTTTTTTTTATTTTTTACTAATGCAGGAAGGTATTCTCCCTATACCTTCCTACATCTATGCTCTTAATATTTTGGGGCCCAGCATATACAGACGTCTGAGTGATCATGTCTAAATATCTGTCCATCTTTCCTGCTTCTTTAGTATTATCAACGGACATCAATGCTATTATTTGCATCTTATTACAAAAATGTATTAAGCTTAAAGTGTATATCCAGCCAAAACTTTTTTTATTTGAATAAAGAGATAAGGGTATTACTGATAAAAGGGTTCTACTACTATCCAGGGCTTCTGTCCTGGTTACAATGGTTTCACCAGACAGGAAGAAAAGGGAAAACTGCAACATCAGCACAGACAGAAATCAAAATTATTTTAGCTAGTTATTGCCGTCTGTGTCCCTGTTGCAGATTTTTTCCCCACTTCTGGGTTCTGTAAAACTGTTGTCACCAGTTTAGAAACTGTTTTAATAAATCTCTGGCTTACTGAGCCCCAGTAACAGTAAAACAGATGTTCTAACCCTTGCCCGCTCTATCAAAAACTAAAAAAAATTGTTGTGGCGGGACATACACTTTAAAGATAATAACCTCCTAATAGCCACTACTGCTACACTTTCATGAAACACCACAACTAGCATACTTAGTATACCTAGCACTGTTACTTTTTATGAACATTTTCTCCATTAATTATGCAAAGCCCTCCGAATATTGAAGACTGACCACCACAGCACTAAATATGTTAGTTGTTAATGCTATAATTAATGTTTAAGTGACCTTTCCACATAATACCACGGAAGTCTACTTTTCTCTTCAGCCATTTCATGTTTACAACAACGGCCAAACAAAGATTTTCCCCAAGCCTTGTATTTTTGTACCATCAAACTTGTGCTTTAACCCCTTCGTGACGGGAGACGTACAGTGTACGTCTTGTCACTTTGTGCCTATATGACTGGCCACGTACACTGTACGTGACGAGTTATATCAGGCTTTGTAATGCCGGTATTTGCTGATTCTCAGCATTTAACAGTCATTCATTAATGTCTCAGTATTGAGGCATTAATTAATGAAATAATTAAGCTTTTTGTAAAAGCTTCTTCCTTTCATTAATGAAAGAATGAAGCCGTTACATGCAAATAGAGGACCGCAATTTGCGATCCCGTATTTGACAGCTCAAAATAGCAGAGAGGCAGCAGTGACTCACCTCACCTCTCTGCTATTTGTTTTGACAGCTCGAGAGCCCGATGTTTAGATACATTTCACTGAAAGGATACAATGTATATCTTTTGAGTGAAATGTATCATTTCTGATCGTCTAGGCACGATCAAAGAGCTTTTAGTGAGATCTGAATCTGACTAAAGTCAGGATCAGTCTCTAAGGTTATTATTAGCTGTTCCTAAGTTTGGATCAGCCTAATAGCCAAAAATAAAATAAAAAAGTTAATTTATCAAGCTGTCATAGTGATTGCTTGATATAAACTGACAAGAAAAAAAAAAGTTTTTTTATTTTATTTTTATTTTTTTTACAAAGTGTAAAAAAATTAAAATAAAGTGTAAAACAAAATTAGGAAAATATAAGTTATATATAAATATATTTTTTATACTATAATTAATATAAAAAAATTCTAAAAAAAAATAATAATAATCAAAACTTGTGAAAAAAGTGTTTTCTTCTAGTTTTTTTCCTCATTTTTTTTATTTTATTCAAACTAAGTGAGGGGTTAGGTACACATATGTGATATAATTATATAGCCCTATCTGTCCTCTAAAAAACAATATATAATATGTGTGGGTACATTTAGTAAGAAAGTATATTACTGACGTGGAAGAACCACACAGCAAAAATGTAAAAAATGTGTCAGTCATTTATGAACAGAACCTGAAAACTAGCTCAGTCATGAAGGGGTTAAAATGTTGCATAAGTGACATCTAGTGGTACAGAAACACGACTGCAATGTAAACAATGTAGGGCAACATGTAATCTGTAGCACTATTTTATAAACTTCACCACAAAACCTGTAGGTGTACATTGTATTAAGCTATTCATGGCACAAAATAACACAACCCACAATCTATAGTTGCAGTGAAAACTAGTTATTATGTTCCTAACACCGAAAGTTTTGTTCATGCCTGATTTTATGTTGCAGTTGTACCACTGCCTGTCTATGGTACCAAGATGAAATAATGACAAACTAAGTCATGCAGGAACTGTTGTGCTAACAAATTATGCTTTGTCTATTGCCTAGTGAAGGGGAAGTGGCACAATCTGCACCAGACCATTGCAGCAATGACAAAGGGTCAGGGTTTTGCAGAAAAGTGGTGGAGCTTCACCATAATAGGACTTTTTTGGTTTTTATACCTTTCTTTTCAGATGATGATCCTGCCAGTAACACACTTCCTGCTACAAGGGGACATCGCTCACTCACTGTATTGCATCTATAAAAGAGCAGCGCTACCACCCTAGAGCATGAATTGTGTTAGGAGTACAGAACACATCCCGCTCTCGCTCTAGGACCTAATGAGCTCACTGAAAGGATTAATACGTATTTTGTGTACGTACGGAACGGGTATACCTAAGCACTATATGCTGGCAGCACAGAGCTGCGCTGCAGCTGGAAAGTATCCCAACAATATTGTTGAAGGAATCAGTGAAGCTTATATTACTGTTTGGGTATTCTGGCACCGGCACACCATGCTGTTTAGCATTAGTTGTCCAATTAATGAATGGTGCTATAGTGTATGAATAGTGTATGGCTAGTCTTAGTTGATAAGTCTCAGGACAATACTGGGATTGCGCAGTGTAAATTACAGTGTAGCCTATTAACATTAAAGGAGAACTATAGGGTGAGTGAAAAACACTTATCCCTATAATTCAAGCCGACCTGTGAAACTGAAACAGTCACAGGTCGGCTCTGTTGATAGGGAAGTCAGCGAACACACACTGCCGATCGATGACTTCCCGATCCTCTCCCTGCAGAGAGCGGTGACTGTCAGTCACCGCTCCCCGCAGGCATTCTTCTCCATCCCTCTCCGTTTCTCCAGCGCTGACTGGAGGAACGGATGGGGGAGGGCAGAGTCAGCTGTCAATCAGCCAGCGGGGTGGACCTCAACAGTATTGCCGGGATCCTTCCCGGCTGCAGCGCGGCTCTGTGCTCTCAGCATATAGCGGGCAATAGCCAGCTATATACTGAGTTTTGGGTCACTGGGGGACATTAGTATATGTCCTCCCGTGACCCTGAAGAGAACTATGGGCAAAAAAAGGTTGCCCCATAGTTCCCGTGTAACTTAAACATGCACATATGCACAAAGACTTACCTGATGTGCCCATACTGAGCAGCACAGCAACCCATAATATCCAGTAGAAAAGGAGAATCAGAAAAGTCCAGAGGGGCTGCACCAACAAAAATGGGATCCGACTGATAAAGCTGCTTGCCACTTTGAACAGCTGAATGGTCATCTGGATCCTTGCCCTCATTACAAATATTGAGATCAACAGGATGATCTGAGAAAAAGGAACAGAAATAGCACTAAAAATCCAAGATGTCTGAAGAACAGTCTTATCCTAAGCCAGTGTTTTTCAACCTTTTTTGTGCAAAGGCACACTTTTTTCATGAAAAAAAATCACGAGGCACACCACCATTAGAAAATGTTTAAAAAAATTACCTCTGTGCCTATATTGACTATATATAAAGTAATTCTCTAACTGTCCTAAGCCATACAATGCAGCGATGTTTGGTACATGGTTGGCCATACACTTAAGCCATGAGCAGATTATCTGTTGATACACAGGCACTTTGGTGAACTGTGAAAGAGGTCTTTTACGAGGGTCAATTAAAAATGAATGCCTCCACGTCTGTAATTTGAGGTCTGTTAGTGAATGTTCATGTGCCATGTTATAGAGGTGTCCGTACCTCACTAATATATGCTTTTCTGTTTCAGATTGAGGGCTAGTTCACACCAGATGCAGTTGTGATGCAGTCTTTTCAGTTTGGCAGCTGCATCCAAAATGCATTTCTATGGGATTTCTGGTGCTCTGTTCACACCAGTGCAGTCAGTCCGCACCGATGCAGTCAGAAAAAATACTGCTTGACCTATTTTAACAGCATTGGGTTGCAACGGAACGCATAAAAAAATGCATGCAAGCGCACTGGAACACACCTGAAATCCCATTTTAAGCAAAAACCAAACGGCGCCAATCAGGGTAAAATCGTGGCAAAACGCATCGCACTGCAGCTGCGCAGACACATGCAGTTCTGGTGTGAACTAGCCCTGAGTGATTAGAGCCATGCATCTGCATCTAAAACAACGAGCTGTAATTGAATTTCTGGCGAAAGAGGGTTGTGCACCTATTAAATTGAGAAAAGCACACTATAGTCAGTATCAGTGCACACCAAAAAATACTTTTCTGTCTAAATCTAAAAGAGAAAACTGTATTGAGTTAATAAACAAATATTTGTAAATTTTAAATTGCGCCTTTTTGCGAAATGGTAAAAAAAATAAAGTAACGCCAAACTGTAAACCAGCAACTTATGTTAAAAATAGTTTGTGCACTGTGCAGGTGTGTGTGTTGTGATAAAATGATACAGGCATACATTTAATCACAACACAGTGTATCACAACGCATGGCAATGTGTCACAACGCTTTGCCACACGCTGCCACTGTTAAATTAATGTTATTTTGAAAAGAAAAAAAATCAAGCACTGCAATGCGTTCTAACAAGCACCGCAGCACTTCTGCATGGCGTACACCACAATATGGTGCCCATTGGTGCATGTGTATAATATATGTGTGTATTGGTTGGGGATAGGGGGGGGGGGGCTGCTAAACAGACCCCTGACATCTCCTTTTTGAAAGAGAAATTGCGGACACAAAGTCCTTAATCTCCTGTTCGAGAAAACTACCAACTAGCTAAGGCTTACTGACATGGCTAGCTGGAAACAGTTGTGTTCTGCTGTAAGCCTTACGTCGGTGGCAGCAAAAAGGTTAATTCGAGCACAGGCCTGGCATGGCAGTTAAGTGGGGGGGTGGGGCAAGCCTTGCCATGCCTTTGGTTGGGTGCTTTTCCAGGGTCCCCCCTGGAAAAGCACCTTGTCTCCATCCAGATGAGGACAAGGGCCTCTTCCACCACAACTCTGTCCCCGGTGGTTGTGGGGGTCTGTGGGCAGGGGGGCTTATTTGCATCAGGGTACCCACAATGGAGGGGGACAACTAAGGGGTAGAAATGGGACAGTGACTGTAAAGCAACCCTGCAACAGGAAGGTCTTAAACAAGGACCTTCATGGCGGGACCATATATTTTAATGAGAGCTGCAGGTTTAAAAATATTGAAAATTACTTTTTAAATGGCATTACCAACTTAAAGCATATAACGTTTAAAGAGTTATTAAACCCTCTGTCTTTTTTTTGCCTATATCTACTGCTAGCAAGCAGTAGATATATGCAAAAAGTGTAAACAAAAAAAACGCTTTAAAAGAGGTTAATACTTACCCATGTCTTCCCCGCACGCTCCCGTCCGAAATTGTGAAAATTCTCGGGCGGCCGCATGTGCAGTTCACATTTTCGGCTGGGAGACGAGGAGGGACACAAGGTAAGTCTATGGACGCGTGCACCCGCATGCAGACACCGTGGGACAGGAAGTGCCAGCAAGGACAGAGGAGTCCGCGCTGGATAGGAGACCCGCAGCAGCGCTGGAGGGACAGATGCAAATGACAGGAAAGAAGATTGGATTAAGAAACATCATTTAAGGTAAGTGCTTTAATTAAAATTGGGGGGGGGAGGATTTTTTTTTGACTTATGTCACTTTAAGTGACTAGCATTACATATACTACCACACATGGTCTAAAAGTTAGTAGTTCAATCTTGAAGGAAATGTTTTTAATATAACTGAATCTGTTCGTCAATGTATGCCCCTAATCAATTTCTACAATAGCAGCAGGAACATGTCTGAAGCCATAAGGATGGTATTGGATGGGTGTATTTCTATTTTGCTGCTAGGAGCAAACATTTTAATTTTGCTGGGGTTTAACATTTATTCATTTAGCATATTTGCCCAGACATAGACCATTAAAGGCACATTTCATGCATTAGGTCCCTCTGAACAGGGTTCATGTAAGGGCATATCAAACACACTCAGTGCACACACACATAAGCCGCAGAGACAGCAAAGTGAAGGATTTTATTATTACAATCAGTGACGTGTAACTCTGCAAGTCCGAAAAGCAATCCATCACTCCAAAAGCAATCCATCAAAAGCAATGCCCTCCAGCAGCATGGTCAAGTTCATACTTACAGACACTAATGTAGATACTATAGAGAATCCAAGTAAGAACTTTGCATTTTCCTTCTCAGTCTCCAGCTCATAACTAATGTCATTAATTTGGTCATAATACAGCCACCACAGCACTCCAGAGACAACTAAACAAAACAGAATTAAAAATTGCTAAGTACATATAGCAAAAAACAGCAGGTTGTTACTTTATCACATGCTCGTTAGCTGTACGGTGCCAAGCATTTTTTCAAATTAATGTTCTGTTAATCTATAATAAACCCCTTAAAAGGGCAAGGGAAGAGGATGGCCTGTAAACTCTGCTCTGAGTAATAAAGCAAATTAAATGCTAACATAGTGAAGTGCGGCCTCAATGGTGTTGCAACATGAAGAGAAAAGGGGAAGCGGATGACCTCTACAGAGAGCCAACACAGTATAGCTGGAAGTAACATTGAGAGCTGCAATAGAAGCTATGCATTCAACTTATATGTAATCTATTGTTTCTGGTTTTCTATCAAAATATAGGTGAGCCTGAAGGTAAATACTCCAGCTCACTGGCGGAACTACCAGGGTTGCAAGGGTCGGAGGAAGAACAGGCCCCCCCCCCCAGAGAGTGCCGCTCGTTCCCTGACGCACAGCCACCGCAGCATGTACGGGCAGCTGTGCGGCAGGGATCGGAGAGGCTGTCACCAGCAGAATATGCTGCAGGCACCGCCGGGCAGCACATTCTGCTGTGCGAGGACCCGACCCTCTTAGCCCCGCCTCCTGACCGGGGAGACGAGGAAGAGAGAGAGGGCCCTGGTGGAGAAAGAAGGTAAGTCTGGAGTGGGAGGGGGCGGGAAAGTGTGTGTGTGTTTTGGGGGGTGGGAGGGATTGTAGTGGGATTCTGTAGTGCTGACTATTATAATGTATTCCTAGGACTTGTAGTTCCACATAGCTGGTGGCATTCTACATTGCTGTATGATGATTATGCAGCAAAGCAGAATAGCTCCAACTATGTAGGACTACAAGTCCCAGCAATGCATTATAGTGGGGGGTGCTGGTAGTATTCTGCATAGCTGACTTATTATAATGTATTGCTGGGACTTGTAGTCCCGCATAGCTTCTGGTATTCTGCATTGATGTATGATGATTATACAGGAATGCAGAATAGCACCAACTATGTAGGACTACAAGTCCCAGCAATGCATTATATGTTTAAGTAGGGATACACCAGTGCCAATACTGGGCATTTTCACGAGTACTTATACTTGTGAAAATGCCCCAATACTAAATGCAGATACCGGTGTTCTGTCGAGAACGCCAATGTAGTAGAATTTGCCGACCTCAGCATCTGCGCTTGTGCACAGACCAATATTAATCGAGGAAACTGGGATTTATTTCGTTTAAATTGTTTCGTTTAAACTGTTAATTGTGACCGTTAATAATATTACATTCATCATTTCCTGCCACCCATCATTCACTGTCATGCATGGCATATTATTAACGGTCACAATTAACCAGTACAGGGTTAATACTTTGTAAATAAATGCCGGTTTCCTCGGTAATCCCGACTTTACGTAAACGCAGATACTGGGTCAGATACGCAGATACTGCACTAAAATTTTAAACAAGCGGCTGCCGAGGACCCGCGTTTGCCTCGGCAGCCTTCTTGTTAACCATGCGGTGCCATGTCGGTTGGGGGGGCCTTCATGGTTTCTTGCACCGGAGCCCTGAAGGTTCTAGTTACGCCTCTGCTCCAGCTCATAGTCCATTTATATATAAAATCTAATAGTAAAAGGTTCCAAAGACTGTAACAGTTCTATAGACAATTTGAGTACATTACTCGTTTTCATATTTCTCAAACCATACACTAAAGCTATGAACCACTAAGAACCGTGAACTTTTTTTTGCAATTGTCTCTGTGCAACCAGCCAAACTTTTTTTTGTTTTCTATGGGATGGGGAAGCAATATTACCAGCAACAGGTGTTTTTGTAGTTGATCTAAGTACTGATGTTCTAACCCCTTCCCACTGTATGCAAAATAGGAAGAAAACCTTTTGGCTGAAGTAACAGTTAACTTCTTAAGATAAATCAGTCACATTTCATACAGCAATCATTCATGACAAGTTTATGGCAAGACTAATAAAGAAATGATAAAATAACAAAAATGTATTTTATGATGAGTAAAAATCCTATTTTCCTTTCTCATCCATTGAGGAACACAGGAAACTTTAAATTTAAACTTTTTTGGACATCCATTAGCAGTCCAACTGAGGGGTGGGCAACAAAGCAAACAACCACTAAGCAGGACCAATGTAAACAACGGGAACCAAGAACTAAATATATAATAATATTCTGTGCTAAGGACTCCTAGTGATGGGTGGAATATAAAGCTGCATTGTGTGACCACTTTGGGAACTACCTGCAGCTCAAAGAACCCCTGAAAGACCTTACGCTCAAAGCTAGCCTCGAGGGGGGGCTAAAACTTCCACCTGATAAAACTTTGAAAACATGTGATGTGAAGATCAGGTGGCAGCCTTGCAAACCTAGGAAGCAGAGGTCTGATGCTAAAATGCCCATGAAGTACTCACAGCCCTCCTTGACACAATAAGCTTACACAATAGTCTGTATGAACCACCTAGAAGATGTGGAACTAGAGGTCGGAGCATCCTTTCTGGTCCCGTCCAGGGTGACAAAAAGTGAATGCTTTTCGTGGAATGAAGAAGTGCAGACAGATACACTCGAACAGCCAAAACATATTAGTAGTATTAGTAGTAGAAATAAATCCCCTTCTGGTGAACTGGACTACAAACAAAGAAGGAAGGACAAAGTAATGATTAAGGTGAAATTCAGAGACCACCTTGGGAATGGAAGGCAAATCTTTACTGAAAAGAAGAGTACTCGATTTGTGAGATTATAAGCGTGCACAATGATCTGTCTGAGCCACCTAAAAGAGGTGGAACTAGAGACTGGGGTACACTTTTTGGGCCCATCCAAAATGACAAAAGGAGAATTTGTCTGGCAGAATGAAGAGGTGGCAGAGAAATACATTTGAATAGTCCAAAACACATGTAGAAAGTGGAGATAAATCTCCTGGTGCACTGGAGCAAGACACAAAGAGGGAAGGATAATTTACTGGTCAAGGTAGAATGCAGAGACCACCTTGAGAATGGAAAGAAAGGCTAGGCCTCAAGACCACCTTGTTCCAATGTAGGACTAAAATGGGTCAGGATAAGGCTACTAACTTCAAACACCTGTCTAACTGAGGTGCTATCAACAAGAAAATACACCTTGTGAGTCAGAGAAGAGAGATGGATATTCATTAGAGGTTCAAATGGGGGCTTCTAAAGCACCAAATTCAAATCCCACAGAGGTAAAGAGGATTTAACAGGGGGAGTCACATAGAAGATCCAATGTTAATACAGAAATCTTCATACAGAAACAACTCAAAAAGGAGGGTGTGAAAGGAAGGTTATGGAGGCCTCAGGGGCCCTGTATGGCCCAAAGCCAGAGACAGTACTTGTAGAAGTAACAGACTGATCTTCCAGATTTAGAGCGTGGCACACCACATGAATATAGACTGAAACAGTCTATCAATTTAGGAGTAATATTAGAAGATTTCAGCTCCTCAGGGGAAAGCTCATTAGTCAGTGACTTGAGCGATTCAGTATTAGACAAAGTTTCCATAGCCAAAGGCACAAAAGCAGCAATAACACAGTCAGATCAGGCACTTAATGTGCAGGGCAAGGCACAGTGGCATATTTGCAGCCTCTACAGTTACATCCAGAGATAAGCTGGGCAATCTGCAAAATAAAGCCTTGAACACCCAACAGAGCAAGAGAGAACTCCAAGGAGAGGAAAAACTCCAATGTCAACAGGCTACATGTTTGCATATACTGTATATGCTACATGCATCGGCACCCCCATTTGTTAGTGGACAGTGTTCTGGCGGTACTGTGAACAGCCAGACTTGGTCCAGTTGCAGCTGCAAATGTGGGAAGCTATATACAAGTTCAAGGTAGGAGGCTAGGCCTTGATTACTCATGGAAACTGTACAGCTGGTAGCTAGCAGATAACTCTGAAGACCAAAGGATCTAGTGGCCAGAGGTGACAAAGGGTCACTGCAGGCGGACAGTAAGAACAAATCAGTGATCGAAGTTCCATATCGCCCTCGAAGCAGGAGCAGAAGTGGGGAAATTCTTTTTCAACGTAGTCTGGCAGGAAAAAGGACATGGAGCTTGCACACGACACTCCACACAGTGGAATTACGTCTGCACTTGTAAATCACTTCCATGGGAAGACGACAGGAAAAGGGTAATTCAAAATGGGCTTCCAGCAACTAAAAAAAATTAGGGAACTCCCATGTCTCTGCCAGATGGCCCACTCGCAGAAGTAAGTCTTCAGAGATAGGTAATGCTAACAGCTCTGGACCTGGAAAGTGCATCACAGCCAGAACCAGTCTGGAAAGCACTCAAACATTGCCCAGTACCCAAGGATCACTTCCAGCCTCACCCTGCAATGTCTGATTCAGTGAAGTCCAGTCACATTAACATTAAAAGTTGAGACTGAGGACAACTGTGCCAGGTAGCTGCAAGAAAGCAAAGAGACCTCCTAGAGCAACATGGAGATGAATCTTGATTGAAGAGAAAAAACATTGCTACAGAAAAAGTAGGTTAAAGTACAATTAAACCTGTTTTTTTGTTTGCATATATCCACTGCTAGCAAACAGTAGATATATATATGCAAAAACATGGAAAAAAAAATAAAAAGTTACCAAAAAAGGTAATTACTTACCTCCGTCTCCGCCACTCGCTCCCGTTCAAAGAGCTAAAGATTCTCAAGTAGCCGAGCAGGATCATGGGGCGGGCGCAGTACAGATCTTCGGGGGGGAGAAGAGGAGAGACACAGTGGAGCTGAATGCATGTCGGACAGACATCGTTGGAAAGGAAAAGACAGGAGTCTGCGGTGGATCAGAGACCGGCACCAGCACTGGAGGGACTCCTGAATACAAGTGGAAGGAAGAAGATGATCAGATCATGAGGCGTCATTTAGGGTAAGTTCTTAAAGCAGCATGGGGGAGGAAAAGATTTGAAAACTTAATGTCACTTTAAGTCTAAAATCAGCGGAGCCAAAAAAAAACAAAAGATGTCCTCCCTCCTAGGACACTAGCAAAAAACTAAGGCATGCTGGTAGTAGTAGGAGCTATGCGAAGGCTGGATTACAGTTTTTTTTTTTTGTTTGCCAGTCTAATCCTCCTGTAGGTGGCAGTATAACCCAAAGGGGAAACACTTCCTGTCGGTCTCAATGGACAAGTAAGAAAGAAAGACTGTTACTCATACCCAAAGAAAAGTTACATATTGTAATTAAAAAGGTACTTACACAGTAATCCAAACATAAGCAAAGCTACAAAGATGTGGACCATGAGAGTGCTGATGTAGCGAAATGAAATGACCATCACTACAGATAAAGCTGTGGAAAGACAAATTATTTTCTGTTTTCACATTATAAGTAAATACATAAAAAAATGTAAACTAACATATAGTGTAGCATAACTTTACATTAATACATTTGACTAGGGCTGCGGAAATTAACGATTAATTTCTCGATTAATCGTTAAACTTTTTGATCGATTAAAATTCTTTTGATCGCTAATGAAAACACTCACCTCTCCGCCGGCTTCCCGGGAGTCCTGTCGGAGAACTGGTGACGTCAGGGACATCGATGTCACCGGACTCCTCCCCCCTTCCCCAAGTGGCTCCGTCGGCTAATGTAGGGAAGGGGGGAGGAGTCCGGTGACGTCGATGTCCGTAACTGCTAACGAAGGGGGGAGGAGTCCGGTGACGTCGATGTGCGTGGCGGCTAACGAAGGGAAGGGGGGAGGAGTCCGGTGACGTCGATGTCCACCTGTAGGTGGCAGTATAACCCAAAGGGGAAACACTTCCTGTCGGTCTCAATGGACAAGTAAGAAAGAAAGACTGTTACTCATACCCAAAGAAAAGTTACATATTGTAATTAAAAAGGTACTTACACAGTAATCCAAACATAAGCAAAGCTACAAAGATGTGGACCATGAGAGTGCTGATGTAGCGAAATGAAATGACCATCACTACAGATAAAGCTGTGGAAAGACAAATTATTTTCTGTTTTCACATTATAAGTAAATACATAAAAAAATGTAAACTAACATATAGTGTAGCATAACTTTACATTAATACATTTGACTAGGGCTGCGGAAATTAACGATTAATTTCTCGATTAATCGTTAAACTTTTTGATCGATTAAAATTCTTTTGATCGCTAATGAAAACACTCACCTCTCCGCCGGCTTCCCGGGAGTCCTGTCGGAGAACTGGTGACGTCGATGTCCCTAAGTGGCTCCGTCGGCTAACGAAAGGAAGGGGGAGGAGTCCGGTGACGTCGATGTCCGTGATGTCACCGGACTCCTCCCCCTTCCCTTTGTTAGCCGACGGAGCCACTTTGGCCGGTGAGTTTGCCCAAGAAACTTTCTGTACGAGCGCCAGCCAAGGCATTGGCCTATACACATACAGCACAGCAATGAAGTAATAAAATCACACTAATCCAGCACGTTATTATTCTGAGTTACCCCACTCAAGCGGCTGCCATATTGAGTGGGGCAACTCAGAATAATAAAGTGCTGGATTAGTGTGATCCTAATTCATTTTATTACTTCATTGCTGTGCTGTATGTGTATAGGCCAATGTAGTTGGATCTATATGTGTGTTATAATTAATTGAAATTAATCGATTAAAAAGAAAATTTGATTAATCGAACACGAAAATTTTAATAAGTACCAGCCCTACATTTTTACAAATGAATGAAATGCTGCAAGCAAAGGTTTCACATATGGGTGTTAGGGTCAAAGATTTGGAGCTAAAGGATAATTAAAGCCTCCGTTTTTTTGCATAGATCTACTTCTAGCAAGCAGTAGATCTATGCAAAAAGTGTAAAAAAAAACAAAAACCCTGTAACAGAGGTTAATACTCACCTGTGTCTTCCCTGCGCGCTATACTCAGAAAGGGAAGATTTGCTGTCTTATAGTCCCAGAGCAGTTTTCTTTTCGTTTCGGCAATGTCTCAGTGCTACAAATGTTACATCTTTTAGATTTTGTCATCCCTAGCACATTATACATTGTTTTTATTTTTATCAGGACAGTTAGTGCTTTAACTCTTTAGTGACATAGCTTCAGAACTTTTTTTCCTTCCTGGGGACCAGGGCAATTTTGCTATTTTTACAACGCGTTTGTTTAACCTTAATTTCCATCTTCCTTATGCATTGCACCTACACATATTTTATACCCTTTTTTAAAGGACAAAATGGGCTTTAATTCAACGTGACATTTGCATATATAAATTCTTATTTTTTTAAATAAAAAATAAGAAAAGTTGTTACATTTTTTATTTATTTCATTACTACACTAGGGGGCGCTAAGGGGTTATTTTTTTTAATAACAGGGGATTTGATAGTTAGTAACTCTGGAGAATACAATATTTTGCTCAAAGATATTTTGTATCAGTTTGCAACACACAGTCGGCTCGCAGCTGCACAACACAGTGTGCTGCTGTCGGCTCTGTGACTGTCACGACTCTGCAATCACAGCGATCAGCTATCGCTGTGATCATTCTGCTGTAACCACCTAATCTGCTGTTGAGGGTTTGACTCAGACTCCCAAGGACCCAGCAACAGCAATAACTCAATGAGCGCTAGTCCCTTCATGGACCAGCGCTTATTGTACCGCATGATGGAATTATCCCATCACCTGTCGTTAATGAACTGAACGATCGTAAATGGGATAATCCTGTCATTGGTCAGGAAGGGGTTAATCTGGTAGCAAATTTGGATGCATATATATTTGTTTTCCTTATTTTTGGGGTGGGAATAAATGGGAAACATTACAGAAAAATAAATTCTACTTTTTTTTACCAACACAATCTTTATGTCATTTGTGCACCCCCATATACGAAAAGGAAGTGAGACACCAGCAAAAGTTTATAGAGGTTCAAACTCTCTCCACCCTGTGCCTAAAAACCAGATTAAGTTACCTGCTATGGATCGATTAAGAAAAAAAAAAAAAAGGAGTATTGCTCCATACCTACTGCAAGGATGCTCAACCCTATGACATTTTCTCTTCCAGCCATAATCCCACTGAGGACACGATGAAACAAGTCCACCTCATTAACCACATCAATCAGAACAGGGGCGAAGTGCTTGTAACAGTCAGGGTTCTGAGGGACACAACGGTTGAAAAGTGGGAAAGATTTGCTGTGGGACCACAGAAGAGGAGGAGAACAGAGACTTACTGAGGTTTAGAATAAAAAAGTTTTGTTATTTCTGTACAAAATTCTAATCTTGCAGATGTTCAATCATTGACATACACATATCCGTTTCTGTATTGTTCAGTATAACCACCAAAAGTTGTTGTGGTACTATAAGCAGTAAATACGTTTAGCTTATGTTAAATTCAATGTTAAAGCAAACTTGTCAGGGTTTCAAAAAGTCTATCTCCAGCCAAAGTTTTTTTTTTTCCATTCTGGACATACTAGGTTAGTATCAGAAACTCTGTCAAGTTTTTACAGCTGGGTGTCCTCACTGAGGATATTTTCCTTTCTTTTTGTAACAAATTGTGACTGGGACAGGACGTGGGGGGGAATCTCCCCAGCAGGAATAGAGAAAGCAATAAAAACCTGACAGAGGCTCCAGCTTTTCCCAACCCTATTCACAACTAAACAGAAAGTAAATGTACCTGGGCAGGAACCCCACAACCTTAACTCCATTTTAGGACTAAGCAATGACAAAGAGCTAAGCCTTGCTTACTACTTGCTCTTCTATCTATATTCTAACCCTTACTGGGCACAGGGTAGTTATCATTAGAGGGGAATTCTGGCTGGGCAGGAGTTGACTGCTGTACCCCATAATCTCCAGAGTCCCTCTGGACTCTGGAGAGGTGTTTTTTGTGAGGTGTTTCTGCAAAACAGGCAGTTAGTGTTCACTTTAGTACATAAACATTAGAGTGACATGGGACAATTAATTTCCACCGGACAGCATACATGACTCCAGGTATTCTGAATATCTTTAAGTAAAGTTAGTATTATTATTATTATTATTATTATAATACAGGATTTATATAGCACCAACAGTTTGCGCAGCGCTTTACAATATAAGGAAGACATTACAAATCACAATACAATTCAAGATAAGGATGTACAATCTGTTGTTTGTTTTATTTCAATTTCATAAGCATATGACATCTGTCCTAATCCTTTAAATAAATCCAATAAGTGCATGTGGGAGGCTGACTGGCAGTAAAGTTAGTGTAAATATAACTCACCAGAATGCCTCCAGTCTCCTGGTTAAAAGTCTTGCTCATTACAAAACTAGATTCTACTATGAGAAACCATCAACCATAGAAGCATAGCAAGAGGGCTTCAGATTAAGGACATCTTAATAACTATTGTATAGGACTAAAGACAAACACTCATCAATGCACAAAGTGTGTAAAGGTTAGTAAACTTGCGGTGTGTTCCGATCCATGCAATCGGAATAGTAAAATCTGCTTCCGAGTTGCTGAATATGATTTTATTTTATGAACAATGCATGTAAGCCTTCCAATGTTTACATGGATGCACTCTACTAGGGGCGCTGGCATCCTAGCAACGAAGGATGGTAGGCAGCAGTAGCTTAGGATGCAGGTGGCACAGACCATCTAGCATCTTGTGTTGCTGGGACACACGGGACTCAATCCACAAAGTTCTTTGTTGCTAGGATGCAGACAGCTTGGGCTGCCTAGCATACTTTGTTGCTACAATGAAGACAGTTTGAACTGCTTATCATCCTAGCAACCAATGGAACACTTTTGCACTAAACACTGTATGTAGATAAACATTGCACAAACATTACAAACATCAGAGCACTTCCAGGTTCTGTCAGCAAGATCCTGTGTACTAGTTGCCTTCTTTTCATGTGGACATGTGTATGAACATGTGCATTATGACTCTTTCTTCATGTCAGGGTCACTGCAAGGCTCCTTTAAAGCACCTCCTGGCTGTTGAATTGGAGTACCACTACTGACAACATATCAGGCATTGGGTGTCACTCTACTTCCTTCCCGATATACCACATCCCTTTCCCTAATGGCACATATACCACTTCTACACCCCTTAGGCTCAATTCACAAACCTTTAGCACAAGAATATGATGCTTTATGTTTAATCGTATGACTAGTTTTTCAGATCTCATTGGATTAAGCTTAAAATAAAATGACACTTTTTTTTAGAAATAAAGCTGGCCGTACACCTATAGAGAGTTTCTGCAGATTTTCTATGGTCAAATAAAAAAAAGTGCAACAGATTCCTCTATCTACACTAAACTATGTGGATGGAGGAGGAATCTGGGCCAAGCTTCAGTATCTTGCTAGTCGGCCCAGCTGGCTGTCAAAATACCTGAACAATCTGATTGGATGCAGGCGTTGTTCAGGTAGTTTGAGAGCCAGCGAGGCCGACTAGCAAGATACTGAAGCTTGGCCCAGGGGGAGATTCCTCTATCCACACAGTTTAGCACAGAAGGAGGAATCTGATGCACTTTTTCCATCAGACCAGAAAACATCTGCAGAAGATCTATTAGGTCTATGGCCAGCTTTACACTCCTTATCCTGGTGTGTTAGCTTTGTTAATTGAGCCTATAGCAGGAGAGCATCTGATCATTCCAAGCCAGAGGAAGGAGGAATAGCATTTCATACACATAATATCCTATTAACAATAATGTTGTTTTATGTTTTTCCAGATTAGAATAGGCAGAATGTAAAAATGAAATACTAAAGTTTATGTATAGGCAGGAGAAAGTTTAGAACCCTTATCAAGGTTTTGCTGTCTATGCACCCGCTTGGTAGATTCGTCCCGATGACAACTGTGATAGAATGCAATGGGATATCAAAAATGTTACAGTTGTCACCAGAACAAGAGGTGAGGGGAAACCTTTCAAAATCAAGACAACTGTTTCTGAGACAACTATTTGGGGGGAATTAATCCTACTTTGGAGATATATTTTCACTTCCTTTACTACTCAACCAAAAAGGTTTGGGCTGTAGTTACACTTTAAATGTAATTTTTTTGGGCAAAAAACTGAATAGACACGGATGGAAAAAAATTACATTTGTTCCATTCAGCTCTGATTCAGCAGGAGATCTCTTCACAGATTTCCTGCTGATCCAAACGGATGATGCTCATACCACACTAGGATTATAATGGCAAAGCATACCCATTGGGTAAGCATGCCCTTAATGCACCCCCAGCTCAAAGCATTGGGGGTGGACTCTCAGAGCAACGCATGGTGCCTCGTTTCAGCTGTACTGACAATGATGCTCCCTAAAAGGAGCAGCTGTCATCTACAGCTAGGGGTAACAAGGTAGGCACGTTTGGCTATGTAACTACAGGCAGACTAATAGAGTGTACAGGATGTTGTAAATGCAGGGCCATAGCTAGCTTCTTTTGCGCCCGAGGAAAGAACAAAAATAATAAATGTGGTTTTTTTCCCCCCCCTTTCCTCTTTAAAATAGAAAAAGAAATTGAGGACACAGAGCCCTCAATCTTCTTTTCCGCTACCCCTGATCTGAATGAAAAGTACAGAGGCTTCCCATTCATTCAGAAAAAAATCATGATCAACCAGTTTCTGAATGGGGAGAAGCCTCTGTATTGAGTGCTACTACCCATTCAGAAACTCATGAATGAACAGGAAGTGTAAAGCACTGGAAACCTTGTCAATGATAAACCAGAAGTAACCTAGTTTTCTCGCTGTCATCATAAGGGGAGGAAGTTGAAGCTGCTGGCAGGTAATTAAGACATAAGGGGTGGATAAGTAGAATGGTTACATAGGGAATACTTATTATTGATAAAGTGAAATCATATATCTAATATTTGAACGTAAACATGTGAAACTCTACAAGATGCAGTGAAAACATTAATAACACCGCACTGCATTGATATGTTCTTTCTTTCTCCCAACTGTGCTCTTGACTTGTCACCCTCTCCCACACTCTTCTATATGTAGCTGCACCAGCACACATTGCGCAAGCAGGGTCTGCCATTGTCACTAGACAAAGCCAGTCCAGGGTAACATTTCCATCCCTGGAGTTAATGCACAAAGGCAGGACATTGCTGCAAAGAAGCTACAGAAAGTAGCATCACTGAGAATTGGTAAAGCATGGAAAAAAAAAAAAGGTAAGAACTGTATTTTATAAAAAAAAAAACATGTCAGTGCTCTACGTGTACTTTAAATAAAAGAGAAACAGAAAAATCTCACCTTGGCGATACTGGCAGTACAGGACACCATTCTGAAACCATGGGATGGTTTGTATATTCTGTGTAGTTCATTTTATATACACATAGGTGAGAGCCTGAGTCAAGATAAGGAAAAGTTAGTTTCTTATTTCACTGCAATAAAATCATTAGAGTGTTAGCAATCCTTATCAGAGCCATTCTATAAAGTGGAGGTGTGGCAAATCAAATTTTCTAAAAAATTTTTTATCTGCTTCTATAGAAAAACATAACTATCCACAAAAAAAAAAACCCAACAACAAACTGTACATTCTTAAAATAGACCTGAAGCCCATTTTTTATTTATTTTTTGTTAGTTTTCGATAGAGTAAGGGAGGGTTTTAACCTCTGTCAGATTTTTGCTATCTTCCTTACTTGCACTTCCTGTCTGATAGCCACAACCAGAGGTGAGCGGAAATCCTCCCAAAGAGAGGGAAATCCCTGGTGGTCAGCAGGGTCATGAGAACTAATGGAACCCATTGGAATATTACCCATTCTTGTTCTGATGACAACAAAATTTTGAATTTTTTCAGTTCCAGTGATAATGGTCACCAGAACAAATAGAGTACCATAACAAAAAACGTACCCTTAATCGTGCTTGTTTTGTCTAGAGCAGTGGTTCTCAACCTGTGTAACCTCAGGACCCAAATTTGTCCTTGGTCATTAGATCCACGCAGTCTCCCTATCATATGAGAACTGGAATGGTTCCTCAGCCTGGTGTCCAGTGTGGGCTGCTGTGCTGTAATGGATCCACATGTGCATTGCTTGTACAGCTCTCTTGCTCTCACATGTAGAGGTGCCAGGAGATAGAATGTGACATCAGTCCAGTCCAGGAACTTCTACAGGGCACATGTGGGAGCTGTAAACAATGCACGTATGGATGGAGCTCCCTTATGGCCATACTTCCAGCCCATCACACCTCAAGCTGACACGCAGGGCCATATTTTGAATGGCTGCTTGGCACAAGAACTGATGGTGCTGCGCTAGGGGGAGGCTGAGGAGTCTCTTACCTAGAAGGAAGGCATGTCGCGACCCACTTTTGGGTCATGATCCACCAGTTGAGAACCAAGGGTCTAGAGCACACTATTAAAGCCATTTTACTTACCTAATCCTCTATCCCACCGGCTCCCTCCAGGCTGCTAGACTATTCACAGCGGCCTCTTCTCCCCTGGGCTCTGGCAGGCTAAGGACCACTGATGTCATCACATCTTATGCAGATTAATTGACCTGCTTGAAATGCGAGGACACGGAAGGACATTCCAAAATCTGAAGCAGAGGGACACGGGAGCCGGGATCAAGTAAGTAAAACAACTTTATTTGAGTACCCTACCCCCGCACTGCAAGGGTTAAAGTTTTTTTTTCTTTCTAGTGGGTACATTTTGTTCTTTGCCTGAAGATGGGCTTTTAATAGCTCATGGTTTGGCATACACAGAACATATTACTCATTACTAATCAATTTATATTTTAGCTACATCTTTTTCAGTAGAAATTAGACAGTATAACCATACAGGTCATGGTGAGAAAGAACTAAAACAATCAAAAAGCCCTGTAACCAAATCACTAAAGCTTTCTTAAAACAGAAGGTATGCTATGTCTCATTCCAAAAATAAGAGGATTGATTTGTTCTGAATAACATACTAAGCAATTCGCTATAGAGACACTTCGGGACATTTAAAAAAAAAAAAAAAAGTAAATTCATATACAAATGTACCATCAAGACCACTATATCTTTAAGCCTTTGTTAGGACAGATCGTGTGTGCATCTCTGATACTAAAATCTGCGCAGTACAAACATGGTATGGTACAAACGACTCCCCAGCTCCCTCCCTAACAGTACATAGAAGGGGGAAACGAAGGGCGTTTTAAGATTTTTCAGCAAACCAAATGGTAGCAGACATTTTAAAATATTTTGTAAAGCTATGGTATGTATATGGGAACGTGTAACAAAAAAGTAGGTATTTTCCCAATCCAGCTTTATTAGGATGTTCGCATTACAGTTTGCTTTGCGAACATCTAATTTTTACATTCACCCCGCTTAATGGCTGCTAGATAGAGCCAGGGAGCATAGGAAAATCAAATCCATCTAGTGGCCAGAACGCGGTACAAATGTATAAGTAAATCCTTAAATATCAGCATAGTACTTTCCTGTGTCATTTCTGAGAACTGTGCTGTGACTACATGAAATGTTACCTAGGACTATCTCCTGCTTTGCTGTATTTTATCAAATAGAAGGCAGAACAATGGGATCATGTGACCTAATTTTAGAAGACGAAATAATTTTTGATAAGCAACATTTTCAATGCAAGCACTAGGATTTCTCTGCTGAACCAAGGGTTTGGTCTGGAGCCTTTACTTCTGCTTCAACATGAATAATATCTCTAAGGCTAGAGCCGCTTAAAAAATGTATGTCACACCCATCAGAAATGCCTGGGGAAGTTTTACTTTGCACAGAGACATGATATTCTGTCATCTACCAGCTGGTGTCTGTTGTTTTCACACTTTTTTCTATGTACCAGGCACAAGTAAACAGGCACAAGTAAACATTTCCATATTCATCTAGTGTTTTTGTGTAATACCACAATCACTTGAGTGTCCATACAGCTGTATTCTGTACTGTGTCACTCCGAAATTGTACAGGAGGTACAACATACGCTGTGCTAACTGGCAAACCGGAAACAATTTGTTCAAATGGGTGCCCCTGTTAGCACACTCAGGTCCAGTGTGCTGCTGTCAAAATACCTGAGCAGTGACTGTAGCTGATGGAACATTTTTAGCAAGTACAGAAAATACCTGTTGATCTTGCCAGAAATGCAGTGTCCTTAACACTTTCTATGAGATGATTTGGAAGCTCAAACAATGGAATTTTTCTTGTCTAATCTACTAATCTCATCACCTCCCCCTCATGTTATGAAGATGAACAAAAGCAGGCAAGTTTGAAGTCCAGCCTGGGTGACAGCTATGACTGCCCCCATACATAAAGTGGAAGAGTGAGGGCAGCCTCCCGGGGACAGTATCTACACAAATGGGAAACCTCACATTTTCTTACAGAATAATTTCACCCAAAATTCAGGTTAAGTTTGTGATTGTAAAGAGTTAATAAATGTCCAGGCTGGTAAATGTCGAATCCCTTTGTTTGTGCAGAACACACTCCCCTCTGACTTCAACAGAAAATTGTTCTTCTTCCATATCACTCCTAATAAACATTAATAAAATACAAAGTACATTATATATATATATTTAGAATTCTAAAAAGCAATTCTTTAAAGCAAACTTCTTCGGGCTTACCATTATTCTTAGCAAAGTGCTGCAGGTCCTGCAATGTTGTCAGCTGTTCCTGGGGACAACTTCTTACACACAATGAGGTGGAATTGATCTTAAAGTTTTTGAATTGCAAGTTGCATGAATTCAAGAAAAAAACATGCCTGTGAAAGATACAAGCATATTTTGGGGATTTTCTTTTCCAGATTTACATTAAAACATAATTTATACTAAAAATTATTCAAATAATGTACTGGATGGAGGATGCCTGGGGATGCTCCCCCCAAAAACAATTATGTGTTAACGTATGCTATAATAAGGTGATATGAAGTTCCTACAGTGATCTATCAATGTTGCTGTACACATTAATCCTTTTTTGTGTTAGAGGATTGTGTCAGGAAACAATGTGGCTGACACCACATAATGACAGTAGAAAGAGTAGGACATTCTAAAGCTGCCTATACACCTATAAATTATTTCTATTAGCCAATGGACAGATGGAAAACAGACTCCTCCATCTACGCTAAACTGTGTGGATAGAGGAATCTCCCACTGGGCCAAGCTTCAGTATCTTGCTAGTTGGCCCCACTGGCTCTCAAAATACCTGAACAATCTGACTGGATGCAGGCATTGTTCAGGTGTTTTGAGAGCCAGCAGGGCCGACAAGCAAAATACTGAACCATATCTGACCATAGAAAATCTACAGATAATCTATAGGTGTATGGCCAAGCTTTAGAGGACCATTATGGTACTCAATATTCACAATAAAGCCGTTGAGAATAATTTGTAACCTTGGCTGGCCACCACCGTATCCAACACCCAAAATAAATAGGGCATGTGCGAATTAACTTTTTTCACAACAGAACTACTTCTCTCCATAAAAGTCTGTGGGAATGCAAAAGCAGCTTAAAGCATATAAAATGCAGGTCAGAAGGAGGTCAAATGTACCTGTCAATTAATTCTGAATGATCCTTATCTCAAACTGATGTCAAAAGCATGCTGCATTTATCCATTGACACCGGACCTAGGTTAGAGATCTTCTTCAAAGAATAATTGTACTAATAAAACAGAAAAGCAGAGGGCCACTATCCTGGCGATGACATTCAAAGCCTCGATAGCAAATAGATACCAGGAGTCAGGATACAAGATTCTGACACGCTGGTACAGGGTCCCGTGGTTGCTCCATAAAATGAACAGCTCGATCCCAGACTTGTGTTGGAGGTGTGGGGGGGGGCATCGGGCACGATGTTACACATCTTTTGGACGTGCCCCGAGATACAGACATTCTGGAGGCAAGTACTGGAGCGGATTGAGACACTGACAGGGGCAGACCTCAGGGACAACCCAGCAGCATGTTTACTGCATCTGACTGAACACTCGATCCCCAGATATAAACGCTCCCTGACACATCACCTGTTGAATGCGGCTCGGGCGTGCATACCCCTGAGATGGCGGGATCCCCTCCAACCCTCAGTCAGATTATGGCTCTCCAAAGTCCAAGATATCTACCAACTTGAGGACCTACCTGCCACGCTAAAAAACACAGAAGCTCGCTTTAATGCCACCTGGAGCCCATGGTTGTGCTACAGAATCTCTGCCCGGGACTCCCCTCCACAAGCCGGTTTGACCGGGACTCTGTCCCAGGGGTTGCCATGAGGAACCTGGAGGGTTTGTAAGCCCCGGGAATAACTAAGGGGGCGCTCGACTTCTGTGGGCGCCCAGAACCTGGTGGATGTCGTGGGACCCGGCCAGGACCCGACCCTCTACACCCTCTCACTTTTTTCTGCTATCACCTTTCCTTCAACTAAGAGACACCGTCTTCTCCCGAGAATAGTACTTAGTCGCAGAGCCTTAATGTACAGAATTGTTACGGCTGAATGGGACGGTTGATGCACATATGACAGTACTAAGCTGTCATGATTATTCGGATGCGTTATGTTACCTTGATGCGGAGTAATCCATTTTATTACGAGTTCTGTGGAATTTATGCCCATACTCTGTAACCACATACAATGTTTTTTTGTATTTGACTTTTTTCTCAGTCAATAAAGAATTTAAAAGAAAAAAATAAAAAAAACAGAAAAGTTATTTTATTATACCCAGGGAGGTAGATAAGCTTTATAAATATAACCACCTACCTCAGCATTTTCTGTCCTTGTGCTTTAAGAGCATTCAGGGAGCTCCATGACGAAGTTGTGTTCAAGCTAGCCCAGCCATAGAAAACAGTGACCTACACCATGCAACATGAACAGAAGTTGCTCTTTGTGACCAGCCCATCAATGCCTAAATGTTGTGCAATGTTCACACTGCTCATCCATGGGCAATGTTCACACTGCTCATCCATGGGCAGTAGAAAGAGTTTATTTGCATCTTAGGTCTGTAGTGCTATAGTGGTGCTTGGTAGGAAGGCCATGTGAGTTGGAATTATGCTTGCTTTAAAATGGTACAGCCCATACTACCTCATCAGAACAAAAAATAACCTGCACTGTTACTGGCAACCAATCAGCTTTTCTTTTCTCTTTCTGGCCTGCCCTATTCATTTAAAAAACGAAAGACTTTCCTGACTTCAGAGCCTGATTCTAGTAAAAAAAAAGGGGTACACTTTGACAAGTAGAGAAAAAATGTCCATCCTCCTAGTAAAAACGAAAGCATGCTGGGAGCGGGCAAGAGTTATACCTGGCTGGCCAGCTTCTTTTTTTGATTGGGTTATACTACCACTTACAGGAGAATTTCAACACAGGCAATCACCTCAGAATAAGGCTCCATTCACATAAAGCATTTGCGTTTCCCGTGCGGCAGACCGTATGGCCCGAAGGCGCTAAAATCTTTAGATCTGCACGGATTCAGCTCGTTTGCGGCTATACTATAGTCGCGAACGTGTAGAATCCACCCCTGAAATCGTACTTGGACTATTTTGCGAGACGCACGGTTTTGTACCACGCGGTCCCCGCAGTAGTCTGATCAATGCACTATTATAACATGCTTTGTTTTTTATGTTTAGAGCTCACATGTTAATGGAGCCTAACTGAATTCTGTGTTCTTTAATGAACGATAAAGTGTCTAGAACTTTTCCACTTATGTTTCTATGCCTATTGTGGTATAGCAGAAAGTCGCCATTTGAAGGTGCACTTAGTATTAACTAAAAGATAAGCACTACTATTACTTACAAGAAACTAGTCAGACTTGCCCCTCGCTCTGAAAGACCTGAGTAACATGGTCACCAGAACATATCACCTGACCATGCATATGGCTAGAGTAAAAGATGGTCCCTAAAACATTTGTAATATGGACAGCACACTCTAACACCAATTGGCCTCCTTAAAAAGGAAAACTATGGGATAATTGAATTACACTCATCCCCATCAGTGGCGTAACCAGAGTTCTGGGCGCCCGGGGCAGAAATTTTTAACGTCTCTATTGATCGAGAAGTGAGCAAAAACATACTGCCGATCAGCTCACTTCCCAATCATCTCCCTGCAGAGAGCAGTGACTGTCACCGCTCCCCGCAGGGATTTCCCCCCTCCCCTCTCTTTGATCCTCCAGCGATGACCGGAGGGATGGACAGGGAAGGGGTGGGCATAGATGGCTCTGCCTCTGGATAGGCAGAGCCCGCTGTCAATCAGCCAGGATCTCAACAGTATTGTACCGATCCGTCCCGGCTGCGGAGCGCTCAGCATATAGTGGGCAATAGCCCGCTATATACTGATTTTTGGGTCACAGGAGGACGTTAGTATATGTCCTCCCGTAACCCTAAAGAGAACTGAAGGGAAAAAAAAGGTTACCCCATAGTTCTCTTTTAATTCAAAGTATGATACACATGGTGCCTGCTGTAGCATAACAACCAATTAGATTTTTCCCTTGATGCTCCAACTATCATTTGCCTAGTAGATACATTCTGATTGGTTACTGCCAAGCAATGAAGGAAGTTCATTGTTTCAAATACCAACATTATACAACCAAAGGTCTGTGAGGTTTTTAACTTAGAACAATGTTAATTTTAATGAATGTGACAATGCTCTTCTTATATGTTTCACATAATTGCAAGGATAAAACTACTGATCACTCCTCCATAACACATTAATACCCTCCAATATTTGTGTACACCCCTCCAAGGCATTAGTCACTGAGTTGCAAACCCTAGTACAAACTTTACTTTAGAGTCAGCCAAATCTCAATGTAAACAGAGTTGACCTCTGTCCAGTTTCACATACATGATAAGGGAAGCTGGCTCATATTTCCCCTCAAGTATAACAGAGGTAATTCCAATACCTACTTTCTGTTAGTCATATCTTTTCCAGAAAAAGGAGCATTAGGGATCGGAGTGTTTCGTCTCCCACAAACATTTCCATAGCTATCATAACCAAATACAAGTCTCTCTGCAGCTCCAGCCATCAAAGCATATCCACTGATGAACATCTGCAAAAAAAGCAAGAAAACATTCTAATTATCTGTTCTTTAAACGCAGAGTCCCATCTTACACCAGGTTACGTTCAGACAATACATAGTGCGTAAGCTACAATTTTGTGATGTTTTCGATAAGCTGCTATGAGGATGACCCTTAGGAAAGAACAAAGCTGTGGCAAGCATGTGCAGTAAGAGGACCAGCATGGACGTTTACCAAGGATAGACTGTGAGGCTCCTGGAAGGGCCGGATCTACTCTCTCTCTGCTGCCCCAATGCCAGATTCCTCAATGTGCCTCCCTGTATGTAGGCTGCATACAAGTGATCTTGACAACATCGCCAAGATTACTTGTACAAAACAAGCAGCGGCTTTCCCGCTGTAAATTTAGCCCTGCTTGCCCAAAGCAGGGCTAAATGTAGAAAACAACTACTGGCCCGGCACCCAGAACTGCATGTCCCGTGCGTCGGGAGATAGGAATTCCACACCCCTGCTGCCCCTCTACTCCTTGCTGCCCCGAGGCCGGGCCTTGGTTGGCCTTGTGGGAAATCCGGCCCTGTGTGGAGGAGTGTTTAATACAGCTGTTCCAGGGTAATTTAAAATGTTGTGCATAAACAGAATACAGCCACAGAGAATAGTGGCTGACCTGATATATGTGCCAAGCTGTACGCCAATAACATGTCTCTCACACGTTACCACCAGGAAGCATTTAAACTCTGTTTCATAACAGAGGCTCCATTTGGTTTCAAGCCATTTGAGGACAGTAAGCTGTCATGACATGAAAATAAATGGGTGGAGCGAGTCATGACATCAGCTCCGCCCATTTGTTTACATTCGGGCCGGAGCTGACATTTGCGGTGGGAGTTCGGCGTGAGCGGTCAGGTCAGCAGGCCTTTTTTGTTTTCAGGGAGTTGCCGGCATTGTTCATCGTGATTGACGTTGGATTACATCACTGGATGAGGTGATTGACGATGCATGCATGCTGCCTGGAGTTCAGGAGGTGATAGTGCAGCTTCCTTTTTTTTTAGTTCCAACAGGATTTTCTATTGAAGTACTACACCGCAACCATGTATCCTTGCGCTTACGGCGCAGTTCCATTAATTTCAATTCTCGTGTTTGACAAGCTGCACCGCCTATCGCAACATGCTGTTGATTATTTTGCTGAGAGCGCAGCAATGTATACAATGCTGTGTGGCCACAGTGCTGACATTGCAGCGGTAAAACCACAAGTTAACCACACGGTTTTACCGCCCCCTCACTGCCCGTGTGAGTGCGGCCAGAAGATCATCACTCTGCTCACTCCTCCCCCTGTCAGCACATGTGCATCGCAGCAGAGCCTGACTGGCTGCTAGTGTTGCCCCTTCCTCTCCCAGTCTAAGTGCATCTGTACATAGTACTGCAGAAAAGTGATATCAAGAGAGATCCAGGTGCCTTCACCAGCTACATGTAATAGTATAAAATCTGCAACTGCAGCGAATAGCAATTTTTTATATCTGCCAGAACTTCATTTGTAAGTTTAAAATAAGAATGGCTAAGTAAAAGAGCGACGCTCCAAGAAGTAATGTGCGGGCGTTAACAGAAGGTTTGCCTTTTCCAAGATGACCAAATGGAAAGAAAGAACATTGTACACTTTCAAAGCAAACCTAATGGAGAAAAACAGACTACTGATTCATATATGGAAAACGCTGCTCATACACACATTAAAGTAGTGCAGGAGAAAAGAAATTGCCACTAAAAAGAAAGATTCTATCCTCTTTATGAATCCACAATTTATACATACAGTGAAATGTATTGATTTCACATCCTTCCTTTTAATATCTGGCAAATAAAAATGGTAATGACGATGACCGAATGTAAGAAAGTCATAACTGGCGGGTTGCTGGATTTTGCCACCAGATATATCCTAGAAAACCGAGCTGGCAGGCACTACTAGGTTATTTAAGAAAGGTGCACAGGATATAAAATCAGATCACAGCTTGCAGTGCTCTGGCTTCAGTAAAGGCAATTTAAACTGGAACTGGAACACTTTGCTCCTTAAACTGTATATTACACTGCCTGGCCAAAAAAAAAGTCACCACCTGGATTGCGGGCAGTGTTATGATCTGGGGTTGCTTCAGTTGGACAGCTCTAGGTTCAGTAACGTTATGTCCTCAAATATGAGGTCGGCTGACTACTTGAATATAGTGAATGACCAGGTTTTTCCATCAAGGAATTTTTCTTCCCTGATAGTACAGGCATATTCCAAGATGACAATGGCAGGATTCATGGGGCTCAAATTGTGAAAGAGTGGTTCAGGTAACATGCGGCATCATTTTCACACATGGATTGGCCACCACAGAGTCCAGACCTTAATCCCATTGAGAATCTTTGGGATGTGCTGGGGAAGACATTACTCAGTGGTCCGACTCTCCCACCATCACTACAAGATCGTGGTGAAAAATTAACGCAACTCTGGATGGAAATAAACGTTGTAACATTGCATCAGCTTATTCAAATGATGCCACAGTGAATGCCTGCTGTAATGAAAGCTAAAAGGTGGTCCAGTGAAATATTAGAGTGCGTGACTTTTTTTGGCCGGGTATATATATATATATATATATATAGGGCGGGTGTCTATAAAAGTCTATGCATAGTTTCTGACATATGCACAGACCATACCAAAAGGTACGCAAGTGAAATCTGTAAGCTTGATGAGGAAATGTGGTGGTGTATTTAATGAGATCTGAAAAGCAGGACTGTGTCCGTGGACAATAACCTATATTGTGGCGCTGGTCTTCCAGGCCACCGTAACAGGCCTGCCATTTTACTGGCCGTTAATAAGATGTTGAAACATAAGGTGCCCATACACTGTGCGAAATTCGCAGTGCGCGCCGCTGTCAGCACCCTGTTGTGCCTTCTGGCTTCCTTAGTTGTGCCTGGAACTGTTGTGGTACTGGAACTGTGATTGTAAAGGGGGAAGGAAGACTAAATGTGGGTGGCTCCTAATGTAAAGAGGGGACTCTGATATGAAAGAGGAGCTTAGAACGTAAAAGGGAGGCTCTTGATGTGAAGGGGTCTACTGAGGCAAAGGGTGACTCTGATGTGAAGGAGCGGAATCTTGATTTAAAGGGGGCACTTTGATGTGAAGGGAGAAACCCACTTTTTGTGTGTTTTTGCATAGGGTCCCTCTAAAAGTCTTTGACCTTTGCATACTTTTAAGGGGTGCTGTGAAAAAAAGGTTAAGAAACACTGCCCTAGGCCATCCTTTGGTTTCCTTGTCCTTTCTCTCACTGTAAAAAGTAAAATAAAGCAAGGCCACCAAGAAGCCACAGCGACATCATATGTCTTCTCCTCACTGCAGAGGTGCGTGTGCATGTACGTGTATGTGTGTGAAAGGGGAGGGGGGGCGGATACAGTGGCCGATTGCAGGAAAAAGAAAACCTGACCATAATAGCCCCAATAACATTTAATTTTGATGCATATCATTAGTAGGTTTAGAAATGGTGCATTTTTGGCACAATGTGCACCAAATAATGGTCGCATGTAAAATAAAATTAGGTTGGCAAACTCGGCACTCCAGCTGTGGAACTACACATCCCATGAGGTATTGCAAGACTGACAGCCACAGAGTTCATACCATATTGTATGAGTAAATTGACTGCTCTTATTAGGTGTGTCTGGTAACAACAATAGAATCCACTCCACAACATGGTTACTCATATACAGTATGCTTTCTTTATTATAAAGGTTCTTCCAAAAATAATAAGATGCAACAACCTCACGTTAGTGTCTACACTCCATGAACAAGCACCCCATTCCTGGTGTGTTTAAACGGTTAAGTGAAGGATGCGTCAGCCTGTGAATGGGGTATCTATTTAAAAAGATGAAGTAATGGGATATATCTGTTTAACTTAACATGAGCAAGGGGAATGTATCACCTCTTACCATGAGCACGTCCAGCTTATTTTATATCTTTAGCAGATGCACTCTGTGAGCATACAGGAATATCATAACAATCATTTTCTGAAAACCCAAATCAAATTTAGACAAATTCTAACACAAATAGGTTTGTAGTTTACTAAAAGTAGAATGCGTTTTCCCTATTCATAGACTTTAAAGGTAGAGTGAACATTTGAGTGGCAGAAAAAAAATGTAAATACCAAAGTACAACTAGATTTTCCTTTTCTGCCCATCATAAAATAAGGCAAAAATGATCAATGCAAAAGGCAATAAGAACAAGTTATTAGAAATAGCATATAACTGTTAACCAAATTTTCCTTTACTCTAACCAGACTAGTGGAGGAGGATTCATGACTGGCTCCAACAACTTAAACTAGTATTAAACCCTCAAACTTTTTTAATAATGAATCCAGATCAAACAAATATACATTGCCCGGCAAAGCAATGCTTTGCTTTTTTGCCCCAACACTTACAATCAACATGTTTCTGAACAGCTGCTTCTAAGACCTCGTTCACACCTAGACGTATTGCATATGTGCATCTGTCGCGCGACCGTCGCCCGTTTTTTTACCGCGATTCGCGGTAAAAAAGTTGCGCGACAAACGCGCGTTTCCGAAGACTACTTGGCTGTATCCCAATGGAAACACGCAACAAAACGGCCCAAAGTAGTACATGTACCTTTTCAGGCGTGGGCCGTTTTGTAGCGCGTTAGGGACAGGCGGAAATACGCCAAGGTGGGAACGAGACCATTGAATACAATGGGATTTATATTTTTGAGCGTTTTGTAGAGCGTTCGTCGAGCGTAGAACGCGCTACAAAACGTTCAGGTGTGAACGAGGGCTAAGTCTCGCAGCTTAGCTTCCCTAAACTTCCTGTCCAGTACAAGATCACAAGGGACAGAGCGTTCGTCGAGCGTAGAACACGCTACAAAACGTTCAGGTGTGAACGAGGGCTAAGTCTCGCAGCTTAGCTTCCCTAAACTTCCTGTCCAGTACAAGATCACAAGGGACAGAGCGTTCGTCGAGCGTAGAACACGCTACAAAACGTTCAGGTGTGAACGAGGGCTAAGTCTCGCAGCTTAGCTTCCCTAAACTTCCTGTCCAGTACAAGATCACAAGGGACAGAGCAGACTCCAGCAACTGTTCAACTACTAGCTTGGAGAAGGGATTTGGGAGGTGAGAAGCTTGATTTGCTGTGTTTGTGGAGACACACACAGTTGACTAGCATACACAAAAGGTGACTGCATAGCACTCTGCTTGAGAAAGGAGTCCCTGTAAAACAAGAAGTCAGGACCAGTGCTCAGAAGATCAGCTGATTCTGCAGCAAACTAAAACGTTTAATCATGGAGCATCATCCACTGTAAACGATTTAATGAGCATTTGAAATAGCTTAAAATCCTTTTGTCTTTAAAGGAGAACAATGGGGTCAGGGCTTTTCCCCATAGTTCTCCTAAGGGTCACAGGAGAACACAAACTAGCGTTCTCCCATGACCCAAAGCTCAGTATACCGCGAGCTGTAGCAGGAACGGATCCCGACAATACTGTCTGGATCCACTCAGCTGCGTGAGTGACAGCTGGCTCTGCCTATATAGAGGCAGAGCCAGCTGTGCCCGCCCCCTCCCCCATCCGGTCCGCCAGTCAGCGCTGGAGGATTGGACAGGGGAGGGGGGGAATCCCTGCAGGGAGCCGTTAGTGACAGTCATGGCTCTCTGCAGGGATAGATCGAGAAGTGAGCTTGCAATAGTATGTGTTCGCTCACTTGACGATCTACTGAGCCGACCTGTGACAGTTTCATTGTCACAGGTCGGCTCAGATTATGAGGCTAACGGAAAATCACTCGCCTCATAATTCTCCTTTAATATCACTTTAACCAACCATCATGGTTTTTGCACTGATTTAGTGTATATGTCTGTTTTTTGACAAAATGCCTCTTTCATCCAGTCTAGTCATTCAGGCAGCTGAGAAAATGGTGCATGAAAACAATGACTTACCAAACCTGACCAGAAAAGGAAAAACAAAACCAGCCACGGGATATCTGTGCACTTCCTGTACAGTGAAGGCCTCCATTGTCTCGGTGTGGGAATTTCACCTGACACCTGAAACAAAGAATTTTCATAGTAATTAGAAGAGTCAATCATGATGCTAGGTGATAGAGTACATATATGAATTTTCCTGTAATCTGCATGAAGGAAGCTCATGTAACTTTCAGCATTTTACAGCTTGTGACAACTCTCAGGTGTGAACAGGAACCATAGAAATGAATGAGATTTCTTCCGTTGAGCGTTTGTCGCACTTAGCTTTGAGCGTCAAAATGCCCAGGTGTGAACAGGGACTTACAGTCATCATGTTTCCAAACAGCTGACTCAACTCTCTCAGCTCCCCTTCCCTGAACTTCTTGTCCAGTAAAAGATTTCATGGGAGGGCACAGTCTCCTGCTGCTGTACATTTACCGACTTGGGGAAGGGAGAAGTGAAGAGAGAGTAAGAAGGGAGGAAGGAGAAGCAGAGAGCAGGAGACAGGCTTGTGCATTTGTGGAGACACATACAGATTAACAGCACACATGAAAGGAGCCATCCTAAAGCAGGATACAGGGCCAGTGCTCAGAGGACCAGCGGATTCCGCAAAAATATGCAGTTTTTAAAGAACTTTATTGAAATGTCACAAGTGATATTTCATTCAGTTCTCTTCACTGTAGCGGCAATAGCAAGCTGTGCAAAAAAATCCTTTCTTTAGCACACACCAAAGCAATGCTGTAGTCTGCACTGGCCACACTGAACACAAGGTTTTTAGCCTCGTCTATTCCTTGGCACTGAGGTGGGCAAGACTGTCAACCCAGTCCCAATGCATCTGATGTGAATGAGCCCTAATTGGTTGCTGTGGGTGAACATTACCAGGTTCTCCTTCAGAAACAGTACTGAAGCCAAGAATGCTATTGAAGGTTATGCCAAGAAATGTCAAGTACAGCACACACACTGCGGGAAGCTTGCTATAACAGCTCTCTTAAAAAGATTTTTGTAACATTAGTTAGGAGCCCGTTCACACCAGGGCAGTTGCGGATCAGCACGCTTATCGAGCTGATCTCGCAAGGGAGGTTTTGTGAGTTTGCCTGAAACGCAATTAAAAACGCCCACAACCGCACTGATCAGCACGGTTCCATTGAAACCTGTATGGAAACCGCAGTGATCAGCGTAGCAAAAATAGTCCAGGGAGCAGTTCGGCTGGGGGCCAGTTCGGATCGTGCAGACCCATGCGGTTGCATTAACAGTCCCCATAGCAATGTATAGGATCGTTCATGTCGGCGGATCCATGCGGGCGACCCGCCCCGGTGTGAACGGGGTCTAAAGAAGAATTCCGGGAACCAAAAAAATTAACCCTTGCAGTGAGGCTACCCCCACAATGCAAGGGTTAACTGCTTGTTTTGGTTCAGGGTCTAGAATAATAAAGGTATACTCACCCTACCCTTGGTCCAGCGTGCCTGCTAGACTGGTCCCTGCAGCCTCTTTTCCCCCGGGCTCTGGTGGTCTAAGCCCCGCTGACGTCATCATGTGCAATAAAAGTCCTTAGAGGACGCCGAGGGACATTCCATAGCCGGAGCAGTCACTGCCGCAGGACCAAGGATCAAGGTGAATATATCTTTTTAGTTTAGACCCTAGACGAAAATTAGCACCTAACCCTTGTAGCGCGTGGCGTAGCCTCGCTGCAAGGGTTCATTTTTTTAACTGCCCAGAGTTCTCCTTTAAACATAAAAAACTAAAAATAAATCTGTATTTCTATATTAAATTTCCCTAGGCTTTATACCACCCCTAATAACCATATCGATCTAGAAGTCTGTAAACGTAATTATTGTTGAAGATGCCCATAGAATGTACTTCCTCAATGCAGTCACAAAGTTTCACTCAGCCCTGTGAATATGCAGTTCTTTGTGTCACAACTTTCACACAGCCTTCCTTCTGAACTACAACTCTGTGTCTAAACAATTTAACCTTATCATTGTTTGCTAGAAGCAATGCATGATGGGATATGAAGCCTTACGAAATCGAGAGTGCATCATATCAAGCAGCAGAGAAAGAGATGCAAAGCACACCGGGAATCCAGGAAGTTGATAAAAGTGATGGCCAGACAGAAAGCAGCACTCACTACATAAAAGAGATTTTTTCAAACAAGCTTTGAAAAAAAAACCCTCTAGTATGCATTCCTATTGCAATGCTGATGTTATAATAGGATAGTGTATGCTGGGACTTTACAACTCATTTAACTGAGATCTGTTTATACTACAGCCCCCCATAATGCTCATGTTAGGACATGAAGCAAATATTCACAAAACAAAAAACAAACACAGATCAGATGCAGTAAGAGGCCATTGAATACCCATCTTGTGTATTCCTAGCTTCTGGTGGCTGGTCCTATTTCAAGGAAATATCCTGCTCCCCTAAAGACTGACATCTAGATGAGCCAGTAAGAACCTGGAAAATGGAACTGGTAATAACCTGGTGTGAGAACTGCCAAGGCCGGGATTCCCAGACCCCATGCAAATAAACTAGACGGAGACAGGCCAACACATTTCCTATCTGTAGCTGAATATGTGCAAAAATATTCATACAATTACACATATTCCAATTCTTCCAGGATCCTCCTCTGCAGTATCTATAGATTCCTATGACAGATCTGTTTAGATCTGAGACCCTTTCACACTTTATTGGTATTCAGCATCAGTACAAGTTAAAATTCAGAGTTAGGACTTACCGGTAACTCTATTTCCATTAGTCTTCCAGGACAGCAATGCATTAAGCTGGCTCATTCATTCCAGAATGGACTATCAACATAGAGCGACCGATCTAAAAATGCTCATGACTCGTTTTTTTCACTGCAATGGATGGTATGTACATTGTGGTGTGGTGGCCTTCTGTAGAGTACATTGGGGTGCCAATGTACTCTACAGTACATAGCACCCCAATGTGAATGGCATTGGGGTGCTTTTCACAATGAATTTAACCCCAATGCAAAGACATTGGGGTGCCATTCACAATGAATAGCACCACAATGCAGTGCAGACCAACAATCCTCAACTCCGTCTTGTGGCCATAATACACTACTTTCCGGATAGGACATTCCCCCCAGGAAGAAATTATATTAATACTGTACCATTCATTTTTGCTGCCATTCGCCATAGAACGAATGTACATGCAGTTTGGTATGATGAATGGATCCAATTTTTTTAAATATATTGTGTATACACACCTATTTTGTATAAATAAAAAAGTCCTCTCTCTTTATATATATATAT